AGAGTATTTCTTTTGTAAGTGTGGACATATGAAAGCTCATCCATGCTGGGTGACAATCGTCAAAACCTACCAGTGACCATTGGCATGAGTTTAGACCCACATCAATTGTTTTATGACATTTGAGACATATATTTATATATATGTATATGTCAATACATCTTTTTGTCATCAATGTACTTTATCTCAAATGTGTACAACTACTCCTTGTCCCATACTCGACTAACCACCAGTAATGTAGAAAGAGAGTGATGCACATGTGCCCCAACTAGTCCTTAGTCACTCGAACATCTTACTTGTGGTTCTACTTTACTATGTTTTTGACCTACTTATAAGCCTAGTTAGATGGTGAGTCCTCATTCTTTATTTATTTTTCTTTATTTTATCTTAAAAAAACAATTATAAAATTTTTATTTTTCAAGACATTGACCTCATCTTAGCATTTGTACCTAAAAGATAATTAAGACAATTATAGATAATTTAATTGATCAAATTAAGATTTATAAAAATAAAAATAATTTTAATTGACTAAATAAGATTTTTGAACTTGATGGATCACTTGCAACATGTTTATCTTTTCACCTTTTTTTATTTTACTTTTAAAAGTCACAACTAAATGAGCATTTTCTTGTCTATTTTGCTTTTGTCTCTCTTTCTTTTACACACAATGTGATAAAAGCTCATTAAGAGACCATTTGTCCCTCAAATAGTTATAGCTCATTTGAACTTGATTGAATTATCTAAAAATTTATAACAAAGTGAAATGCACTATGACATCTTCTACTAAATCAATGTTTAATATTTTTAATTTTTCTTTAACATATGACATTTCCAAAATATGCTTCCTTATGTTTCTTCTACCAATATACTTTATAAATGAGAGGTTTGCCATAAGAGAACTTATTTATGCTTTATCATTCATTCAAAAATTAAAGACATTAATTAGAGTACTAAAGTAAGATGAGTCTTCAACTTTTTCATCTTTTGAGCTCCCCTTATATTTGAAACCTGGGGCTAGTGGTCGTTGGCAGATTACCTAGAATTCAGCTCGTATTCCTAGTACATTGTTGGTGATTCAAATAGTGAAAAGATCACAATTTTAGTTGCTCATGAGGTAGCACATGCCTATATTTAATTAGAGATTATAATAATGTTTAATGTTTGTAGTATGTCTAGTAACTTGTTTGGTTAGACAAGCCAAAAGCTCAGTCATTTTAGACAATTTTGCTCCCGACTTGTGCTTCTGCGTAGTCACTCATAAAAAAATATAAATAATCACTCCCAATAGTATCTTTGATAATGCAACATGCCAAGAAAAGGAATAGTACATTAATCTAGTAAAGACTTTATTACTATGATATATGGAAATTTGAGCTCAACTTACCTCATCTAGAAATTTGAGCACACTCTATGATATATACATTTCCCCGCAGGTATTCTTTTAGATGATCACCAATGAACTTTTAATCCTTTAACAATAGGTATTTCTTTTATTCTGGTTCTAGATTCACGAAATCAAAAGAACACATCGTTTTTAAAATATATTATTTCTTCTTCAAGTAGTTCTCATCAATGGAAATATAAATAGACCCTTCAATGACCAGTGTTATTTTGTACTAGACTCGGCAATCCTTAGACTGCTTAGATTACCCAAGAAAAATAGCTTCAACAAGTTTTAATAAAATAAAACACTTCAGCCGATTGGCTTGAAAGAGATCGAATTTAGCTTCTTGTCCCTAAAAGGCTCATAGGGTGCCTTTTTGAGGATTAATCTACTCACAATTTAGGATACGATACTCAAAACTTCATCTCCGAAATACTAGGAGAGATTCGGTAGGGTTACTTGCCGAGCCGGGAAAACAAGGGGAATGAATGGTTGGATAGTCTGCCTATGCGAAGGAGTTAGTATGCCGACAAACAAAGAAAGATGAAACGGTACGGGCTGTCATAGGCCGCAGCGGGACTCCCATACACATCTGAGCCAACAGTAAACATATGATGAACCCAAATCAGAGATCCAAGAACACCTGGACTGATCATGCCATATACCATCCCTAGATACTCGAAGACCGGTTTTCCCGAAAGCGCCTTCACCTCCCTCCCGGCCCGCCTTCACATTTCTGCAAGTAGGCGGGTATATGTCAAAGGAGAGGGGGCGAGGGACATTGCTCCATTGGGTCATCGTCCATCTTCCCCCGTATAGAGGCCCACTTAGGGGAGCCAATTTTCAACGATAAATGTCATAGGGAGGAAGGACCACCCCCCTTCCAGGCCTAGCCCGTATTTCCTCCCCATCTCTTGGTCAAGGTCGGGCCTTGGCGTTCAATGAGGATTTAATTTCTGTTACTCACATGTTGAGCCGTGGAGCATCTATGTGGGTCTCCGCGTACCCTCTCGGACAACGAAGCTAGTTGAGTAATACAGAAAGGGCTCTCCCCGGGGGGGTGGCAGCGGCCGGTCCTCTCAGGGATCTCCAAATCTCACAAAGAACGAAGAGCAACTACTAGGCTTGGCGTTTTCTTTCTTCATCCCCGGAGCCGAAACCCTTGAAGCGATATATGCATGTAGGAAGACGCCAACGTGTTCATCCCGCGATGACGCCGTCATCAACCTCAAGAGGGACAGCCGAGTGAGAGTCATCCCAGAAGATCCTTCCAAGAGTTGCCCGTCAAACAGGTGACGGCATCAAGGATAGATCCAAAGAGAAGCCAACCCCCGCAGAGATCGAGGAGCTCAAGGAGCAGCTTCTCTCCCAACTAGGTTAAACTGCGAACTCCAAGGAAGTGAGGTCACAATGGAGATGCCGACCACCCACGCTATGCTAGGAGTACCGGAGAAAAATAGCTGATCCTCAGGCGCGGATTCTAGGAACTTAAACAAGTCCTTACCACCACGCCGCTACCATCCCCTCTCTCCCATGCACGTGCATGGGGACACGAGGTGGTTCAGTTAAATCTCGGCAACAATATGGTGGAATATTCCCATGGGGACAGGGAGTTTTGGGGTTGCTGAGGTGGATCTAGAGTTTAGGGAGGTCTAAGAGGGCGCCCAACGTGAAAAGATGTACCTCTGAAGACCTGTAGAGTTGATTATATAACTCTATTTGGGTTAGGTGAGCTGATTAAATATGCGCCAGGACTTTAAGATCTGGTCTCGCCAAACCTACTCACTGCATTCGCTTCCCTTTCATCCCCAGCAGAAACATGGGTCAGTGCTCTATGGAGAGGTTGGGTTAGCAAGAACCCTCCTCCGCCTACCTGTTCTTCAAGAAACTCAAATCCACTGAAATTCTAGGCCGGTTGGAAATATCATTAAAAAAATATTATTTTATTTTGAAAATTTTCATACAATTCTATATTTTTTTTCTAAATTTGTATTTAGTTCTTAACGGGTTATGTTATGTGAAGTTTGGTCAAAATTCGGTCTATTCCCTTTCTAATCCCCGGTCTGGAGATTCCGCAAGCGTATGAAAGAACGTGCCTATGTATTGGTCATACGCCATTGGGCTAGGTATTCGAACGGGCCTTCATCTATTGGGTGCACTTAGTATGCCCGGTGTCCATTTGGTATGCCCATCGTGACCCCCTGTCAGAGGGAGCTGAGTCTTCTCCCATCGACAAGAAATCGGATAAAATAAAATTATGTAAGCATAAATATTTTAATAACCTTACCATATAATCCTTTTTTTAATTCGGGGAACTAGTTTATATATTATATCTCTTCTGAGATTATATCGACAAATTACAAGTAAATTCGGTTTATTCATATCTCTGTGCCTTCAATGGCAGGGTGGGTTCCACTAAACAGATTTCGAGAAATAATAATAATTCTCACTCACACAGATATGATGCGTGGTATTTTGTTTTCAAAGTTCGACGACCAAAGTTCATTTTTTTTGGTCCCTGGTGGCCCACGAAACTGGATAACGAATAGGACCCACCTTTAATTGGTCTATAGGCTGCCGACCTTCCGACCTTGTTGGGCCTAACAGGGCGGAGGCCCATCTTTTCCGACGTAGCCACGTGGACTCTCTCTCTCTCTCTCTCTCTCTCTCTCTCTCTCTCTCTCTCTCTCCAGGCCAAGTCAAGGAGTTGTAGGATGACCCTGTCATGAGTAGCATCTTACCCTCTCATGAGTAGGGTCGAAGGCTCGTTTCGGCTCCTCATCTGGTCACTTGGGCCCCCGCAAGGATTAGGAATATTAGTAAATTAAACAAGGATAAGAATAACAAAGGGTCAATCTTATGGTTGACTATGGACAACCCGAGGACTAAGTGATTGTCATTTCTCCCAGGAATAGAGAGAGGGTGCGTGGAATCCACGAATTGACAGCTGTTTGCGTGCCTGTGTACGACGATGCGCGCTCTTGTTGACTTCGACTAGGCGATCGCCACTTGGATGGAGCTTTCTGATGCTGATGGTTTTTTTTTTTTTGTGGGATGAGTACGTATTTGACTGGCGTCGAGTCAATAGGAGGCTCTGAGCATTGTAGTTAACGTTAATGGCGAGCTTTATTTGGTGCGATAATTGGGTTAATGTTCTAAAAGTCAACCCTCGTCAAGGTCTTTCAGTAATTTATATAGATTGAGAAACCCTGGAAGGTGTTCATTCTTGGAAATGGACTCATAGGGGATTTACTGTACTGGAGACGTCAGATGCTAGACGGAGGGAGAGGATTTCAGGCCGCGAATCGTAGAGCAGGTTGACTGAGTCGAGAAAGGGAATCCCCGGTTGAGGAGGAGTCTCAACGGCCTCGGATTTAGGGTTTCTGCGAGGTATTTGAGGGGCTGCTGAGTCCTTTCCTCTGCTCTCACCGCGGGAAAGATTCTTTCTTGTTTCCTGCTCTGGGTCAGAGGTCTTCTCCTTCTCTCCCAGAGAAGAACCTAGTTATCTGCTCTGGGTTGTAAGCTCTCCCTTTCTCTGTTCTTGGCGCGGAATCCATTCCTCCCCACCTTTTCTGTTCGTCCGAATATCTCCTATATCGATTCTAGGGTTTGGCGAGATATGGAGTCCGCTTCTACTCCCTCCACCGCATCTGCGGCGGCTGCGGCGACGGCCGCCGACCCCCCCGCCTCCGATGCGGTTAATGGTTGTAGTGGATTAGGCGACGGCGAAGACGGCGCTTGCGAACAAGGGAAGCTGTTCGTGGGCGGGATACCGTGGGACGCGACGGAGGAGGCTTTGGGGGATTACTTCGGGAAGTATGGCCAGGTGGTGGAAGTCATAATAATGAAGGACAGGGTTACTGGAAATCCCCGAGGATTTGGGTTCGTCTCCTTCGTCGATCCGTCATCCGCTGACATGGCCATCCAGGACACCTCCGTCAAGCATTCCATCCTCGGCAGGCTGGTGAGTTCTTCCCTCCGCCCGCCATCTATGCGAGTTTACAGCGGTAGGCCGTGCGGTTGATCTCCAAAGGCGGTGCTTTTCTTCTTTCGTTGTTGTTGGGGGGTTTGTGGATCTGATAACGTCATACTCTGAATAACCCTAATGCGCAGGGGCGCCGGAGGGCTGGGGAGGGAGGGGGGGCTCTTCAATTCTCTTCCCCTCCTCCTGTTACTTAATTTTTCGTGTGGGAAGGTTGGGAGTGGTGAATTGCTCCGGGCTCATTCGATAATAGGAAGAGCCTTTACTTGTTTCAGTCGCCCAATTACGAGGAAGAATCCGGTTGTTCTTATCTGTTGATGTGTTTTTCTTTATGACAGAAGAGTAAACTAATTCTCGTTCCAGCATCGTTGTTTTCCCTCTCTCTCTCTCTCTCGTAAGCTTGCACAGAGCAATTAATCACGCGTATCACAAATTTTCTCGGGCGGGTTCGTTTTCTTGTAAGGTTCTTCACCACCAGCAAGTTGTAGAAACTCCCTGTAATTACCTTGTAGATTGTGGAGCCCGTGAAATCCTGTGCACATTCCCTGGGTTTTGCGCGTTGCTAGAAATGAAGACCCCATGTAGACGCTGATTATGATGTTCTTGTTCCTCCTCTTGATTCATCCCCTTCCAGGTAGACGTGAAGAGGGCGAAGCCCAGAGGCAGCCAGCAGCAGAGCCGACAACACCAGTACGGCGACGACCTCCAGCCTGAGAACAGCGGCTCAAGCCACAGCACCAATGCCACCGACGGCGTCCAGTTTAGCACGAAGAAGATCTTCGTTGGCGGCCTATCAGCAAACCTCACGAAAGAAGATTTCAAGAGCTACTTTGAGAGATTCGGCACGATAACTGACGTGGTTGTCATGAACGACAACGTAACCCATCGCCCGAGAGGGTTCGGATTCGTCACCTTCGACTCAGAAGAATCTGTGGAGAACGCAGTGCAGCAAACCTTCCAGACGCTGAGTGGAAAGACCGTGGAGGTCAAGAGGGCGGTGCCCAAGGAGGGCGGTGGTGGCAGCAGTGGCAAGAACCACCCTAACAAGAACAGGAGCAATGGCGGTGGCTATGGGTCGATGGTCGGCAATGAGCGAGGCCCCTATTATCATAGCTACCCTGTGGGGATGTATCCTTCGGCCGGCCCTCGAATTGGGCTTTTTCCCGGCAATGGCGCAGCCCTTTACCCTCCCTACAACTATGGCCCTGGACCTTATGGCCCTGGATATTTCTATGGCGGATATGGGTTCAGCTATGGCCCACCTTACGCAGGTCCGAGGAGCCCCTGGGACGGCCCTGGGTTCATGGCCGACAGAAGAAGTCCAGCGCCAGCACCTGGTCCCCCTGGTCATTATCCCTACCATCTCAACGGCGATGTGAGCCCTTTGTTTGACATGAGAACGGGCGGTGGCAGCTCGGTGCCGGTGGCTGGCGGAGAACTGAACCAGAGTGACATCGATTCACAAGTACAGTATGTTTCGTCGCAACTGGGGGCTTCAACTTTGGATGATCGGCAGGCGTCAGATTGTTGAGGTTGGTCTCTCTGCCCATTGCAACGCGCTTGAATTGTTCGTAATTCTGATTGAATGCCAGTGATATTTAGTGCTGCTTTGGAATTTTGGTAGATGGGCGCTTTCATGCTGCAATTCGCTATTTTTCGAATGATGTTTCTGCCTCATTTTTCTCATGAATGATCTAATGGATATTTATCGGACAGAATGCTGGCGGTGGATGGGCCTTGGTGGGGCTCTTTTACTCTATTATTACTGTAATTCCCCGCCTTTTCCCAGCAGATTTTCCGTTCTCCACTGCTCAGAGCGTCTCTCTGGTGCTTTTTCGTCGAAGTTTAGCACCAGGCCGTACTGGGCAGTTGCTCAATTCTTCCCCTGAATTGACTCGCATTTGGACGCAGTAAACGAATCGAGGTTTTCTATATTAGACCCTTTAATGATCTTCGTGATCTTGAGCACAGTCAATGTGGTGCACGCTGATTCACGCTGATTCCTGTTCTTTCCGAGCTCCCAATTATTCACCGGTAATAAGTGGCGGCACGAATTATTGGCTTCCTCCTCACCGCCGAACCAGAGAAGGAATTTCTCGGAAGAAAATCCTCTGCTCCTTCGTGTCCAGTGTCTATCTACTAATTGCTCGATCGTCTGTCGTTGACTAACGAGGGGTCTCCTCTTGGCGCAGAGCTTGCGTTGAATTGAACCGGACATGTGACTCCGAGCCCGGAGTTGAACTGCTTGTCGCCGACCGACACAAGGGGTCTGCCGCCAGCCCCACCGCTAACGCCGACGCCTGCTGCACCGGAGAGGTACTTCGCTCCTCTGCTCGCACACCCTCTCCTTGCCATGCATGGCATCCCCTTCTTCTTCTTCTCGGTCTGTTGCTTTCAGAGTTTGAATGGCCAATCTTGCGCGGTATGGTCTCATCAATTGTTTAGAGGACACGGAATATAAATACGTATCACGCCCCGACTGACCAGCGTCAGTTGGGCTCACCTCTGGTCCACTGCGTGTGTTCATCCTTGTTCGTTGACTCTCTCTCTCTCTCTAGATGGTAGTTGTGTGGGGGTATATATGCATTGTTGTCCGTCTGAGTTACGTCCGTTGGACTTGCCTGTCTGACCATCTTTTGGGCCTGAGTTTCTGATGGGAAGCTGAGTGGACTTGGGCTGGTCCCAGAATAATTGCTAGCAATATTCTTAGAGACGTGATGGGCCGGTCAACGTCCGCGGCACGCGGTCCCAGTTGCACTCCCAAATGGGAATCTTCACGAGGGTTGGCTGCTAAAGTCTTCTCCATCCAATATTTGGGGTTGGAAGGGTGGACCCCGGCCAGACCACGGTTTTGTCTTCTTGCCGAGCAGAGGCTTTGTCTGGCCTTGGACAAGACTTGCACCGCCCGCATGTCCTTGATGGGCACCAAATAAGGCTCGCCGGCGATGTTTTCCCGGCGATCCCAGTTGGGTCAAATCATGGCGGAGCGGCGGAGGCTTTGCCTCCCCGAGCTTGTTGTTATTCTCGAAACTATTCCCCGCCCCCGCCGATGCTCTGCCCATCTGTTTCCCAAATGCGTGACGCATCTCTGCGGGGTCGCCGCTGCTCATCAATCCCTGTTCCTCGTGAGGAGACGTCTGGTTACTTTTGTGTGTGTGTGCGAGAGACAGAGAGAGAGAGAGAGAAGATGGTTTCGTTCGTCCTTATTGGAGAAAGGAGGGGGGTGGGCCTGCCGGGTCGTCTCGGCATTCAGCAGAAGACGCCCGAGCTTATGGTTTCAACAACGGCAAGCAGCGTTCGCTGTCTGCCGGAGGGTCCAGAAGATAAGCTTCAGTAGATAAGGAGGGAGGGGAATACGGTGGGTCCTTCGCACATGTTTAGAAATAGATCTCCAGCTATGTCTGCATGGGGCCGTAAGATCACATCTGGTGACGTTCGTATGTCCAGCGGCGCCGACAACCGACCGTCGGCTGGGAAGTCCCCGGATAGGGTTCTAATGTCGCCGGTGGGTTGGGCACGGCCCCCACCAGGTCAAAAAGAGAACAACGGCGCTTCGGCGACAATGAGAGCCGGCCAGCTGCACATGAGAGGGCATTCGGCCGGCGAGGGGGAAAGGAAAGCTAAAGCGGAAAGCAAAATAAAAAAAAATTCAGCCTTGCAGGAGGGGGGAGGCCCCCCTCCTAAAGACGCTTTCGCATTCAAGACTCTGCTGACCTGCCCTCCCCCTTTCATCGCCCGAGGAGGAGCTGTGAGAGGCCTAGAGGACCAGAGGAGGAAGACCCATTTTCAACGCGTGGATCTCGTCACGCCCTGCATGAGGGGACTATACGTGTGGATGGATATGTAGCTTTCGTTTGTTATACTAGCGTCTCTTTTTCTTTCTTCTTCAATCCCTTTCGCATTCATAAGCTCGCTATCAGAGGGGAGCCGGCGGTCGCAAGAACAAAGGAACCGAGGGACGACGTGACGGGAGTTCCTCAGAGCTTCAAAACGAGGGAAGGAGGGAAACGGTGGGGGGTTATTTCGATGGCGGAGCAGAAGGACGAGGGCGACGGGGACGTGTGACACGTCGCCCTTTGGATGTGCATGTCTTTACTGAGACAAAAGAGGGATCGGGCGAATGGAGATAGGGAATGGAAGGTCGGCATCGCCTGCTAGAGAACCAGGGGGGCGAGGGGGGGAGTCCTTTAATGCGGTGTAAAGGGGATGGCGGAGGAAAGTGGGGGGCTTCCACAGGCTCTCATCTGTCACTGCTCGCTCATATTCTCATTCCATCGGCCTCTCTTTTTGTTTCCTTCGTCTTCGATGGGGTGGATGGGAGACATGCCCTCTGGAATATGCAACGCAGACGTGAAAAGTGGGGATACAAGATCAGGCTCTAGAGGACATAGGAGCTCGACCCACTGTGAGTAATGGGGGAGAACGCTCGGGGGCAGCTCATTAATCCGCCGCACAAGCGGAAGTCGGGGCAACATCGCCTCCGGGCTTCCGAGCTTCTTCTGATCACCTGTCGCCGTTGGATTGCCTCGCCCTGGCCCTTCTGCCCTTCTGTCGTCTGTCCCAGCTCCGCCCACACTCTGTCGACTGCGCCCCGTCCACAAGCTCGCCATCTTTAAACTCTCTGCAACTCTTGTATGGGATCTTTGCTTAGATTTTGTTTGGATTCTGGGAATTGCCACGTGAAGGACAAAAGCGCAGCATTAATGGGAGCATCGCAGAGCGGACTTCCTCATAAAAACCGGGCCCTCTTTCTCCGCTCTCGTTCGTCCAAATTACTCGCAATAAATAGTCGTGGATGTGGTACGGCGTCTGTGTTCGCCAGTGCACTCCAGCCGAAGTTGTAGTCCCTCAGTTGCTTAAACAAAATCCTAATGTAAACTGAGAACCCATTTCAAGTAATGAAGGAAAAGAATGTTACCAAAATCGTGTCTCAGTTGCATTAATGTCGTCTCTCTCTCTCTCTCTCTCTCTCTCTCGCGTGTTTGCAGACAGTTGAGGAGACGTCTCGTCCTTTGTTTAGCTTTTATCTTCTGGGACGGGCATTCATATGCGAAGCAAATGTTATCATCTGCCGATTCTCCACGACGTATGCATGAAGATGTTCATCGACTTGTCAAATCAGCTGGTGCGGGATGGCCTCTTGAACGAATGGCCGAGGCCACCTCGGTACAAAGATGCTGCATCATTTAGGGCATGTTACAGCCTTGTTTGGCCTTCTGAGAAGCCCTTCGAGTTCACTTCCGTTCCCTTGTCCTCGAATCCTCTCGTGAAGGCTAACAGTCGAATAAGCAGTGTAAGACCAAGTACACCTCTTCAGAGAAGGAAGAGACGATGACGGGTCTCGAGTAATTACCTCAGTCAACGAGCGACAACGGCTGGCCTTCTCTAAGAACCAGCTTTTCGTCACCAAAGAACACCACCCTCAGCTGTTTGTTCTTCTGAATAGACGAAACACTCAAGTACACGAAGGCCCAACCGACCATTCCAATTCGCCGGGTTTTCCCCATAATCTCTTCATTTTCCAGCTGTTTAGTCGCGGCTGGTTGTCTTCCTAGCGTGGCTACCATGGACCACGAAATGATCACAGATTGAAAGAGCTGTCTGAACAAAATAGATGACATTCCTTGCGTCCTTTCCCCCTCCTCCGGGTCCCAAATCTCAGAACGTACGACCACTTGAAGCTCATCCCGGCACGGCATACGCATGGAGTTACGTGCACACGCGGTAGGAGAGAGGAGAGAGATAAAGAGAATTGTTTGCATTGTCGCCCATTACCGACCTTTTATGGCTTCCTCGATGCATTCACGCGCCCCTTCGTCGGGGGGATGTGGGTCGGGACCTGTCCTCGTCTGACATTCCATGGTGCCCTGGGAATGTATCCCTCCAGGGCGTAGGGGGGGGCTCAAGTTAGCCGCGCTGGCTCATCTCGTCCGGCTTCGTGGAGAATTCCATTTGCCGAAAAGGTCATTTGCCCCTTGCCTCATCATAAGGAATAATAAGGGCTCCGGTCAACTGGGCGACAGCGTTCCGCAGCCTCTGTTAGCACCACCGAGCGTACTCGTCTCCCTTCTTGACGCCGTTATGCACGGAACGAAGCTATAAGCTCGCATTTAAACTCGAAACCGTGAAAATATGTGAGAGAACATCAGCCCGGTGCCCGCGCCACTGCCGGAATCTCTGTCATGAACAACTCGCCGGCGATGTCGAGACCAAGCTCCTCGTCGCCGTCGATGAGAATGGAGGAATCAAAGCGACCTCCACAGCCGATGAGAGGCGCTGACGCCGGCGTCTCTGCCACGCATGTGAAGGGAACACGGACGGGCGCGCTCTGCGCCGGCGCAGGCATTGCTCGGGAGCCTGCACGTCGCATCCCGCTGAGGAATTTTAACTATTAATTTAAAGTATTAAAAAACCATTTTACTGCTATAGGATCCGAGAAAGAGCACCTTCCGCAATCCCGTCTACCTAATATTTACGGTCTTTGTGGTTTCTTCTCCTCAGATGTGCTTGCTTTGGGAATGCCATTGCAAATTCCAACTTCCATCATAATCAACACGCCAGCCCACTCACATTACATTTGAATTTTCAAATATTAATTAAGTAAGATAGCAAAGCGGGTCGAAAACGACGTTATTCCATGAATTTGCTTGTTTCTGATTAAAAAATTTCATATATTCCATTGATTCAGAAGGTTGGACCGTGACTATGCCTCTCGCGTTGCCTTGATTTCTAAGTTTTACTCGATGATCACCAGCTTACCCACACTACATATCTTTACATCTTTCTACCTCTTACTGCTAACTTTGATGATAATTTGCATAGTGTTTGATGCATATTTATGTGAATTTTTAATACGTTCCTGGTAGAATCTTTAATCCATTAAATGACGACGGGGGCATCATCTATAGATGCTTCGGAGAGAAATTGATGGCTGCAATAAGGAACTCTCAATGCCATCATCTTGATTACTTACTGTAGCTGGATACTCGCCCTCCGTCTCAAGAAAACCCTGGTGCCTCTGACATCAAATAGAATATAGGACACCAAATACACCAAATCTTCCTGTTTTAAATAACATTATATCTCCCTCTCTCTCTCTCTCTCTCTCTCTCTCTCTCTCTCTCTCTATCTCATCTTAAAGAGATTTTATTTTTCTACAGAAGAAACAAATGAGTACGCTCCGTTGAGTTGAATTTCCAAGGTTGGCCTCGCGTGATTTCTCTTACAAATCATCTAAATCCAGGTAGTGCCTCGTCGTTTGATCGTTTACTAAAGTAATCGGGGCTGCTATGTGGAACCCACGTCCAGCCGCGAGAATTGCTTCCTCCGTTTGGCTCCGTCGTCGACTTTTGAACCGTCGTGGATGCTCTAGCGATGTAACATATTATAGTCATTGAAATCATGGAAGCTATGATAGAATTTCTTCGTAGAGGATTCCCTACAGAAACCCACCTTAGCCCTATCTATCTGATTGCGACCAACACCTGCAGTGGTCATTTCGTCGAGCAGGTTTTCAGGCAAGCCATAGACCATCCCTCTCAGAATGGGAGGCGGTGCGGCTTCGTCCAGAATCAAACTCCAGCCATTCGTTTATCAGAGTTGACGTTGCACCGGCACTTCCAGACGCTCGCTGTCGTCTCTAACCCGTGTTTCTACTCTCAATAACTCCTTGCGATGGACTCTGAATCCTACTTGGTAGCTGACGAGCCACACGACAGCCCGCTTAACTAGCGCTGCCGCTGAAGGAAGGAGAGTGTTGACTCGTGATATGCAGGTTGCAGGCGCCTGCACGCCCATCGTACACAATCGAAGTCCGTTTTATTGCGGGTGTTGATTGATCCCGACACAATGGACGGGCAGGGAGAGAGAGAGAGAGAGAGAGAGGTGACATTACACCTCCTATCCGAGAAAGGAAGGAGTGAAAGTGAAAGGGAGGAGAGGGAGCAGAATGCGGTGAATGGCATCTACTCCCGCTGGTCAACAGTGCGGGGGGGGGGGGGGGGGGGAAGATAAGAGGTATCGTTCTTTTGCCAAAGTTCTGCTGCAGAGAGGAATTGGTGGATCCAGTCATCATGATAGTAATCGAAAGATACACGGGGAGGAGGACCTACCGGAGCCCAACAGATCCCCTCATTCTGCTCACTAATTTTCTGCCCTGTTCTCCCAAAAGGGATCATCCGCACTCATCCTTCGCTAACGATTTGCACGCAAGAAGTGACAGAAGGCCCTTCATCCGCACTCATCTTTCACTAATGGCAGCCGAGAACTCCTTGAATTAGAACCTGCGTGAGCTTGGAAGCCGAAGACGAGAGTCGCTTACATGACCCGAACTAAATTTTTTCCGTTTCCATCTTCGGCAGACCGGAGAGGACCTTATCTTGTTTCCGGGCTTCTTGCTCATCATTCCTGTTTCTGAGACCTCGTCCAATCCTTTGTCCGCAGGCACGTTTTATCTAGAGGCATTTTTGAATATCTTCGAGGAACGATCCGTTGACTTACGCCAGCAACTGGGGGAAACGTAACGATGGATTGCGTGGGACATTGGTCCATCTTCTTTCTATCATCTTCGGTCAAACATGTTTAATCCAACTTTCTCTCCTCTCTCTCTCTCTCGGTTTTCAAACCGAAGGCTATACAGGGAAGGGCACATAAGCTTTTTTTCTTTTTGTTTTGGCGAAGGGTGTGGTATTATAATGGCCAAAATAAAAGTTTTAATTGGGTGCTGGGGTTGCAGCGCAGGCTACTTGTACAGAGCTAGCACTGTTGCTGTTGTGAATTGACTGGTTGGACAGTTGTCCTCCCTGTCAATTTTATCTCATGGCGCCCATGAGACCGGCAAAAGAAAAGCAGCCTTGTTTTGCCTTGGACACTCAGACCCGCTAGATACTACTGGTTCTCTGCTCTGAGAGCGGGAGGAGGAAGGAGGAGGAGAGGTGAAAGCTAATTAATTAGCTGGGAGGTTTTGAATCGCTCTTCCTGGCCAAGGCTTTATTAGGGTCCGAACCTCATACGGGAAAAAGCAGGAGGGGGGGAGAAGAAGAACAAAAGCTATAAATAAGGTCTATCTCGGAACACAGATCCCTATGGAATGAGGGAGGGGTCGGAGCGTCCCTGCATTTGCTTGCTGCAACTCATTCGTTTTGCTCTGTTTAAAGGGCCTAATTCTGGTCTCCTCCACCTCTGTGTTGCATGTTCTTTCTCAGAGTTGGAATGTGGGTGGGTGGTAGGAGAGAAGGTTTGTGGAAGGAGTGAGTGGAGTCTGGTGCCCTCTCCATGAGAGCTCTCTGCTGTCCAATGATTGATATCCCTTGTTAGAAGGAATCTGTGGTAAGCGGCGAGGGAAGAGCAGAAAGGATGAAGTCTATCAACAATGGTGGCTGGCTGGGTTTCTCCCTCTCTCCCAACATAAGCATGGAGGTTGCGGCTGACCCGCATCATCACCCGAGTCATCAGGGCCATCATCCTCAAGCTCAGTCCACTCCGGCTTCTGTTTCTCCTGCTGTGACCAGCAGCTTCTTCCTCTCCCCTCAGTCCGACATCTGCTACGGCGTCGAAGGGAGCAATGGGGCGTTCTGCTCGCAGCTCGCCGTCATGCCACTGAAATCCGACGGCTCGCTCTGCATCATGGAAGCTCTCAGCAGATCGCAGCAAGAAGGTCCTCAATTCCTTCTATTTTCTTCCTTTCTTCCGCCGAGTTTCTGCTCGCGGCTTCAAAACAAGTCTCCTTCCGCTTCTGTTCTGACTTTTCTTCCCCCCTTTTTTCAACATCAATTTAATGAAGCAATAGCGCCAACTCCATCCCCAAAACTGGAAGATTTCCTCGGCGGCGGCCCAAATATGGGGACCCATCCGTACGGGAGCAACGACAGTGAAGCCATGGCCCTAAGCCTCGACAGCTTGTACTATCACCAAAACCATGGATCTGGTGGCAGTAGAAGCCACCCAATGGACCTCCTCCATCAGCCCTTCCGGCAGCATATTCCGGTAGAACAGAGACAACAGGAGCACCCCCAGACGTATTTCCAGCCCTTGCAGGAAGGTATGTGCTCTGGTCTTACAGGGCATGACTTCTACCAGGCCGCGCTGGAGGAGCCAATGGCCGGAGACGGGATTCCTTGCTTGAAGAACTGGGTTGCCAGGCACTACAGCGCCCCCGGCGATGGGCTGGCGAACGAGCCAGCGGTTGGGTCTGTTGGTGCAGTGGGCTACGGGGATTTGCAGCCACTGAGCTTGTCCATGAGCCCAGGCTCTCAGTCCAGCTGCGTCACCGCTCCCCAGCAGATTTCTCCCGCCGGAGCAAACCAGTGCATGACTTTCGACACCATGAAGAAGAGGGCTAATGGGAGGGCTGGCCAGAAGCAGACCGTCCATCGTAAGTCCATCGACACATTTGGACAGAGGACATCGCAGTATAGAGGCGTTACCAGGTTAGTCTTCAAGCCCTAGGGAACTCTCTCTCTAGCCCCTCGAGTCAGCTCTGTGCGTGTTTCGAATGCTGATGCCCCCTTAATGCCAACACCCGCTACTCTTACCTTCGTGCGCTTTGTTCGCTTTAACATTTCTTATTATATTTACTCGGTGTACATAAAATTTGTACCCTCTCCCCACCACCATCGTCTCATGAAGATCATGTGGACCATGCTTGAGTTGGGTGGGTTTCATGGCGATCTCCGCCTCTTCTTTCCTGTTTCTTAAGAGCCGAATTTTGTTCAGGCATAGATGGACCGGTAGATACGAAGCTCATCTATGGGACAACAGCTGCAAGAAGGAAGGGCAGACCAGGAAGGGCCGGCAAGGTTGGTACACGGACACGTTCCAGACTCATCAATCTTCTCTTTCTCCTCCTCTTCCGTCGGCTGACCTCGTTTATTCTCTCTCTGCCATGTCTCCGGTGGGAATGATCTCCCTGGGCTTCAGTTTATCTGGGTGAGCAGCCTCTCCTCCTGCAGCTTCATCGTTTTAATAGATTAATCTGCGCTCAGCTCAGCGGCCTGCTATCTCTCGCTCTCAGGGGGTTACGACACGGAAGAGAAAGCTGCGAGGGCTTACGATCTAGCTGCGCTCAAGTACTGGGGGCCCTCGACCCACATCAACTTCCCGGTAATGGTCAGCTCCTCCCCCCCTCTCACTCATGGTAGGTGGGGAACGATGGTTTGATGGTGGCCTGGCCGGGTTTTATGCAGATTGAAGGCTACCAGGGAGAGCTCGAAGACATGAAGAACATGAGCAGGCAGGAGTACGTCGCCCATCTCAGAAGGTGACCTGGGTCTCTTCCCTCAATTATACCGCTCTTCCTCTGCCCACTGCCGCTAATATCTCCTCTCCTCGACTCTGCCAGAAAGAGCAGCGGATTCTCGAGGGGCGCATCCATGTATCGAGGAGTCACAAGGTATTATCGTCTCGCGCCTGTCCAGAAGAGGTCATCGGCTGGGAAATTCCATCACTGTTCTAACTTTGATCGTCTTCGTCGGCCCTTCAGGCATCATCAACATGGGAGATGGCAGGCTCGGATCGGCAGGGTGGCGGGGAACAAGGATCTCTATCTCGGCACATTCAGTAAGTTCGAAACGCTCTGTGTTTGATCTATAATTCTCGTCAATGATGCCGGCTACTACTACATAGAGTGGGTGGGGGTCTATGTACCTCTCCCCTCCCCATTCACGTTCAAACCGCTGCTGAGAGGAAAAACCAGTGACTGTTCTTTTAGTAAGGCTGAATCCACGAATGCTGCAAAAGGCGAAAGCGAATAGAGGAGGCAATCATGCTTCTGCTGGCTTTCCTCTGCGCAGGCTCTTCTGATTCAAATCCATGGATATTCCTGTCGATCGAGCTTTCTCTAGGTTCTCAAGACTTTGGGTCTTTTTTCAGGCACGCAGGAGGAAGCGGCCGAGGCGTATGACATCGCCGCCATCAAGTTCCGCGGGGCCAACGCCGTCACCAACTTCGATATAACCAGATACGACGTCGAGAAGATAACGGCCAGCAGCACCTTGCTCTCCGGGGATCTTGCCCGGAGGAAAACCGCCGCCGGAGCCGGAAACAGCGCCGCTCCTCCGGGGGAGAACAACATCACCAGGGCGACGGAGCTGTCGGAGGAGCAGAACGCCAATCCGGTGTGGAAGACGACCCATCATAACCAGAAGCCGACGGCGTCCATACCGCCGGCTTTCCATGGGCTGTTGGCGATGGACTCGGTGGAGAGGATCGAGGACTCCGCCGCCCAGCTGAAGAACGTGGCGGCGTCCTCCTTCGTGACCACTCTGAACAGCAGCTCCAGGGAGGAGAGCCCCGACAGGGGTGGCGTCTCCATGGTGTTCCCCCGGACGGCCCCTCTCAACTCCTGGGTGCCGGCGGCGGCCCAGATCAGGCCTGCGATCCCCGTGGGTCAAATCCCGGTCTTCGCCGCCTGGTCCGAATCCATCTAGCGCTGTCTTTGAATTTCGTTGTAACTGCAGCTTTCGGGGGCGCCATCCATGATAGTGTTACTCAATTCCCAGTGATGATGGTTGACCTGGCCTTCCGACCGCATCACTCTTCTGACATCATTCCCTCCCTCATCGGCTACCCCCCGCCGACGGATACTTCTCCCCCGCCGCTGCCCGACATTCCCACCTCGTTATACGATCATAACTTCGCCGATCTCCAGCCGGCGATGCTCACTCCATCGCCACGGTCTCATCACCGGCTCGTATACACCGATCTTCACACCATATCTGTCGTACGGCCGAGAGAAGGGCGAATTCTGAAGTCAGACTCCTCGTCGAGGGGCCCCAGCATGTCGGGACTCTCTCTCTCTCTCTCTCCTTTCTCTAACCCGAGGCTCAGCGGGAGGGGCCCCTTCTGCGCTGCCTCTTCTCACGCGGCAGGGACTACTACTGTGGACGTCTACTTCATTTAAAGTTCAGCTTCGGGGCACAGCCGCCTCCTCTCTCTCTCTCTCTCTAGGTCCCGCGCAACCTCAACCTTGCTCCCCCCCGCCCCCCTCTTCCACGGGGAAGGGTCTCTCTCTCTCTCTCTCTCTCTCTCTCTCTCTCTCTCTCTCTCTCTCTCTCTCTCTCTCTCCCTCCTTAACAGAGGTTGGGGACAAGGTCAGCAATGGAAACCCTGGGGGCGTCCTCCACCCTTGTCTTCACACGGCGGAAGAAGAAGGCTGGCGGCGGATGGGTCGAACAGATTTCCCCGCCGGGCTGGATTTTAAGGCCCTAACCCGCACCCGGCCCGGGACGTCCGGGGAAAGGGTGGGGCTAAGGTCAGTGTGTGGGTGGGTTAATGGGCTTTTAAGTCGCCAGACTTAATGCTCGATGAACGGCGTTAATGGGCCCATTAATGGGCCAGGGGACATTTACTTTCTCTTTCCTTTTTTTCGTTTTTAACTCCCCCGTTTCCTTTTCTCTTTCGCTTTTCTTTTCTGTAAAAGAAAAGACGGGATAGTGCGGCTCCTCCAGTCAAGATGAAGCCGGGTGTGACACGTCACTCCAGGATGCCCTCCGAATCACCCCCCACCACCAAATCTTACGTTGACCTAGACTGTTGACTTCGTTTTTGACCGTGACTCCTATTTATTGGGCTCTCGCACGTGGCTTTTTTGGCCCATTTAATCATTCAAGAGAAATGCTAACTGGGCCAGGCCCAAATCAGCGCGTGCCAGTGAAATGGGCCGGATCGCAGAACGTTGGATGCGTTTCTGCATTATCCACGTTTTTAAGTATTAATCTCAGTTTTTAATGGGCTCACCATTATCCCTCTCTCTCTCTCTGAGGTTCGCGTTGACTTAGTTCCGGGACCAAAGTCCGGGGGGACACGCGGAAATAACGAGGAATGGATGCACGGGGCGAGGTCAACATCTGAGATGAGAATGCGTGAGTAATTCAAGGAAACCCAAGGTCTGGGTGGTCGTCGTCATTGATAGCTTCGGGGAGGGTATCGTGACCACGAGACAATTCGCGCTGACTTTGAGATCACGCCTCCGGCCGTCGCTCGGCTGTTGTGGATCGCTTGTTCTTACTTTCTTCTCTCTCTTCCTCGTTCGACAGCGTGAGCCCGATTTCGAGGGCGGGTTGGTTTCTGCGTCGGCCATGGAGGTGATGATTCTGGTTCTCCGCCGCCGCGTGCAACGGTCGGTTCTTCTGCTCAAGAGACCCCGACATCCATGATGAGTTGTTCTTCCTTTCTCGCGGCCTTTCAAGGTTCCTGATGGGCGTTGGCGTTTTTGGCTGGCGGCGCCGGCCGGCTGGCGAAAGCCGAGCCCTCGAGAGAAGAGAGTCGACTACGGGAGGAGATCGCCGGCACGGCGGAGAGGTGCTGAGGGGAGGGAAGGAGGCGTCTTCAAGGTAATGACGGATGTCGAACATACTACTCTCTTACTCCTCGGCGGAACCTCATTATTTGATGCGTTAACTGTTCAGGCGACAGGCGCTTAGGGTTTCGCCAATGGTTGAATTAGCTTTTTAGGGTTTGGAGCAGTGATTACTGTTGCCGCTTCAACGGGCTCGTGAAGCTCCTCGTGCCTCTCTCTCTCTCTCTCTCTCTTCACGGTGCATGGCTAGAGTCCATTGAGAGCCTGACCTAGGCTCCGGATTTTTCTTCGTCCCCACCTCCCCGGTTAAGTCTAGGCTCTGTAAAAGATGCCAAGACTGGGCAACCTCTGAGCTAGCGTCACTGTGTGGTGGTGGTGATATGTTATTTATAAGCCTTGGTGCCCCGCGATCGACGTGCTTATTGGAAAGTCTTCTTAGGGAAATAGCATGGCTTTTGACTAATACTGGGTGGGTAGATCTGGTCCTCAGGCATTAAATTAAAACTAACTCAACGTTTTAACAGCATGAAAGGGTTTCTAGATGTATCTAAGCCCACGACGTGCCGTTGACTTAATCCCTTACATTCGGGGGGCCAACTTTTAACCCACTCCAGAGAGCCGGAAGATTTTTCATAGAAGCTGGAGTTCTTTGACTCAAGTTCAAGTCCTACGCCTGTTCCATGACTGCCCATTTAACTCTCTCTCTTTCGTCAAGCGGACTATGAAAAATGTCGTCGCATGTTATTGTCATTTTCGGATATTAAAGGTCAACTTATGGAATAACATTTAGACGAGGTCCTCGGATCGCTGTCAAGCTCAAATGCTTTTGCGGCCACGGCGTTAACATCTGTAGCCGCCGGTTTCCCTGGCTTCTTCTCCCACCTCTCTCCCCCCTTCTCTGTCTCTCTCTCTGCGTTGGAATTTTTGCAGCCGGTCAATGGTGTCAAGATGTCAGCCGTGATCGAGTTTAAAACGGGGGTCAATGGATGTCTAATTTTTACTTTGAGCGATTGGCCAAGTAAAAGCGTAAAAGTGTTTCCAAGGACGACGATCAGCATCAACGGGAGCTTCCTAATTTTCAGTGGAACCGATGGCGACTGATTGCCGTCGATGGGGCGGAAAGGATGGCGGGGGAGGGGGAAGATGCCCAGAATTTCGAGGCTTTCCCTGCAACTCGGCCGGCGCTGCCTCGGATTCTCTGGCCGCCGCTCGACAGACGAGAGACAGAGAGGACAGCCCAGTGAAGGATCCCTTTCGTCCTCCACCGGAAGCCTCCTCCTGCTGTGGCTTCCAGTTCATCGATCTCTGTCGTCAAAGTTCGCGGCGGCGCCTGTAGATCGGAGAGAACAGAGCATCGTCCCTTCGAGGAACAGAGGCCCCGTGGGGCATTTCGACGGTGACCGGAGAAACCGCCGACGGTTCACCGGAATTGGGGCCGAAGAGGATAACCCTCCAGTGGTTTCGGCCGCTGCTAATGGATGGGAAGAATAGTTTGACCGCCGCGAATACAGGGGACGCAGGAAAATGATGACAGGCTCCCCACATGTTTGGGGAGTAAAATACAGAGAGAAAGATGAAAGGAGGAGGCTGGCGGTGGCTAACTGGTTGGGGAGTGAAAGAATTGGGTGGCGGAGTGTCAGCAAAAGATCTCGAGCAAGCTTGGGGCCGAAGGGAAGAACCCTCCCTGCGCTCTCTGCAAAAGGGAAAGGGGAAATAGTAGAATAGCAGTAAAAGCGCATTAAATCGGACCATTTAATGTTTACAAGGAGACAGGACGAGGGAAAAGAATTACTCCCGCATGATTACGTAAAACCCTGTTCATCTTGATTCTTGTTTTACCCAGAGCAGCCTCTCTCTCTCTATCTCTCTCCGTCCTCCCTCTCTCTCTCTAGCCTGCGATCACCCGGTCTTTGTAGGGCCACGGTGGGTAAGCGACCTCTGGGCAGGAGAGACTTGCGCAGAGGGCCGTAGTGGGGTGTCCGATGGAACCTTTTAGCCCTGCATCTGCTCCGATTTTTTAGGGTTTCAGGAAAGCTGACGGGCTGATGTCTCGTTTCGTCTGGACTTGCTTACCGCCTAAGAAATTTTCAAAGGCCTTCCCCACGTCTCAAGGATTTCTCTCTCTCTCTCTCCCTCGGGCACAATTTCTCACCTGATGGGTCCTTAATTTCGCTCCGCATGCTCCACTCCCACCTCCCGCCTCTCTCTGTCTCTCTCTTCCACTGGATTCTGACGCTCGCCATTTCTTCTTCTCTTCTTGAGCGCTTAGCGTAAAGCTTCCGAGTTCAGCCTCCAGCGGATAATCTCCTCCGAAGAGACTGACCAGGCGGCCTGCCTCTATGGGGGTGGAGGACGAGCCCAGTGATCTTGGGTTTGATCACAGAGGCGGAGACTCGGTGAACTTCAGGGCGTCAAGAAAGTCCACGCCTCCGCGCTCGGAGCTGGCCGAACAATCCTCTCCGATTTCAATGGCTGTCACAAGAGACGCTCCTCCTCCTCCTGCTGCTGCTGCTGGTGCCAACCTCGAGCAATTCTTCGTGAGCGACTGGAACCCGTTCATCTCTGCGCCTCAGAGCGGGGATTTCATCCGGTCGGCAGCGTCTTCTTACGGCTTTCTTGCGCGGGAAGACGAGAGAATGGGGGGCTTGATCGATCAAATCCCGGGGCACCTGCCCTTCGGCGGTGGCGAGAACATCTCCGATGTCATGAATCCCTTCTCTCTGCCAGCGGATTTCCCTTCCCTCTCTTCCCCTAGTCTCCCCTGCTCCGGCGAGAATGGCGTAGGAGGGCAGAAGCGGCGGACACCAGGAGGATCAGACCCTCCTGCTTCGTGGGTGGGTTCCTTATATCCTGGTCCTCTGTCACCTGATTCACCGTCGTCTGACAAATCTGAGCTTACCCATTGGCTGTCTCATTTGCAGACCTCTGAGGATGCGCAGAAGAGAGAGAAAAGCCTGAAGAAACCCAGAGCGGATGGGGAGGACGGAGCCAATTCTCATAAAGGGGATGATCCGACGAGGGAGGACTACATTCATGTCAGGGCCAAGCGAGGGCAGGCTACGAACAGCCACAGCCTCGCAGAGAGGGTGAGCCCTCCTCAGCCTGATCTTCTTCCCCCCCCCCCTTCCCCGCGGCTTAGGGTTTTTCTTCTCTGAAACCTACCATCTTAATCTCTCGGGCTTCTGATCTCCATGACATTCATTCAGTTGAGAAGAGAGAAGATCAGCGAACGAATGAGGTTCCTTCAGCACCTTGTTCCCGGATGCAGCAAGGTAGCCCAGCCCTGATTAGGGTTCATCCAACTCCCACTGAACGCTCGTTTTTTCCTGAAAGTAACCGTGATCTGCATCGATTCCATTCTCTGGTTATAGATAACCGGCAAGGCCGTGATGCTCGATGAGATCATCAACTACGTACAGTCCCTGCAACGACAGGTCGAGGTATCCCTCCGCCCAAGTAGTCATAATCCGGAAGAACCTGCAGACATATCTTCTTTACGTCCTTCCCCGTTAATCGCCTTAATGCGATTTGATTCCACAGTTCTTGTCGATGAAGCTCGCCGCCGTGAATCCAGAACTGAACCTGGATATCCAGCGGATCCTTTCGCAAGATGTGAGATGATATGATTAAGCAAGAGATCATCCATCCATCCTTCCATGCTCTAATCCCCGTCATTGACGACGGATTTCCGTCTCCCCGCAGATCCTCCTGTTGCAAGCCGGAGCGTTGGGCCCTAACGGGTCCGATCCCCCCGGCGGCGCCACCTCCTACCACCAATTCCGTCTCCCGCTTCCGCACGGCGCGAACCTGCCGGAGATCGACGGCAACCCTGAAACTGCGGCGGCGCTGAAACGCCCTCTCGCCTGGTTCTCCCCTGCAGCGCAGGTAGTCTTCTCCTTTTCTTCCAGGAGGGAACCCTACCCTTCTCTACCCTTCCTCTGGTTTTCTGTATTCACACCACTAGATTGTCTGCTTGCAGGTCCCGGATCTATGGGGCGATACCGTGATGGGTTTCCTCTCCGGCAGCCGCCTCGGCCCTGGTTCCGAGCTCCCAGGTGAAACAGAGGAGAGGGCTCATTTCTTCTCCGTTGACTCGGAGCCCTATCTTCACCGCTGACCCTCCTCGCGACGCAGGTTCCATGGACGTGGAGGGATGACTGCAAGCAGACGAGCTCCTCCTCGCGACCCGCCGTCGCCGCCCCCAGGGGAGATCGTCTGGTTTTATACACCCCGAGTTTGAGTTGCGGAGGAAGCAGGATGTACAGTTTCGCTGGTCCGACATCTATTCTTCGTCTTTTTGGAGGAGAACCCCCCTCCCCGCCTCCACTGTACATGGTTTTTTATTAGGTAACCAGACGGCTGATCGCGGCGGCGACCGTTTGGGTCGTCTGTGGGTTTGTGCCGAGGATCTTCGAGAATTCAAGCGATGGTGCTCTCTGTCTCTCTCTACTGGATGTCGCAGCACTGTAAGGGTAGTTCTCACGATCAGTATTGCCGGAATATGCGGTCACTGCAGAAGTCAACGGGGCACTGCAGCCGCTGCTCTCTGAGCCTGCCTGCCTGCCTGCGCCCGCGGCGGTTCCTCCGGCGAACGCCGCCGCCGTGTGGGAGCGGCGGAGATCTCTGGTTCTAGTTAGAGAGAGAGAGAGAGAGAGAGAGAGAGAGAGAGGGTGGTTATCGGGAGGCGTTAGAGACCCGCGTTAGGCCGTCGTCGTCAATGCCAATTGGCGACGTCGACGAAGTAAATGCCGTAGGGGGCCGGTCGGAAGGGACTTAGACACGGAGATGACGTCACCACTGCCGGCGGCATAATCCAAAGAGCAGTGAGCTTATTACAACTGTCACCGCCCTCTCCTTCAAACTCTCTGGCAGGCGCTTATTACTCCTGTCGCTCGGTGGGGTGATCTCATCGGAGAGTGCTGGTATCGTACTGATACGAACCGCAACGGAAAACCTCTCTCTATCCAAGCCCAGGCCAGCGTTGACAGCATTCGCTCCCCTGCGGCTGTGATCTTCTACCGGAGTCCATGGCGGGGGCGGGGGCGGCGGCGCCGCCGCCGCTGCGAATCCCTGCGTTTGGGGGGCTCTCCTTCGTGTTGCTTCTCTTTCTCCTGCTGCTGCTACTGCAGCAGCAGCATCCCTGGGCGGCGATGGCGGAGGCGGAGGCGGAGGACAAAGTGTGCCTCTCCAGTCTGTACAGGTCCTTGAAGGATAAGAAGAAAAGCCTGGGGAACTGGACGGGGCCCAACTTCGCCTCCCCCTGCAACGGGTTCACCTCCTACCTCGAGGGGGCCACCTGCAACAACGGCCGCGTCTACAAGCTCTCGCTGCCCAATCTCTCCTTGAGCGGCGGCATCTCCCCTTTCCTGGGCAACTGCACCAACCTGCAGACGCTCGACCTGTCCTCCAACGAGCTCGAGGGGCCCATCCCACCCGACCTGCGGTTCCTCGTCAATCTCGCCGTCCTCAACCTCTCCGGCAACCTCCTCTCCGGCAGCATCCCCCTGCAGCTCTCCCTCTGCGCCTACCTCAACGTCATCGACCTCCACGGGAACCTCCTCTCCGGCCAAATCCCTGAGCAGCTGGGCCTCCTTGTGCGCCTCTCCACCTTCGACGTCAGCTACAACCGGCTGGAGGGCCCCATCCCCGTCCTCCTCACCAACGTCTCCGGCACGGGTCTCCCACGCTTCAACGCCAGCTCCTTCGCCGGCAATCCGGGCCTGCACGGGTTCCCGCTGCCGCCGTCGCGAGGGCGGGGCCTGTCTGTGCTGGCCATCGTCGGAATCGGCCTCGGCAGCGGCCTCGTCAGCCTACTGCTCAGCTTCACCGCCGTCTGCATCTGGCTGAGGGTCACGGAGGAGAAGGGGGTGATTTCCGGGGAGGAGGGCAAGAGTTCCCAGCTCATGCCCCACTACTGAACTCGTATCTTCCCCCTCCTCCGCCGCCGCCGCCGATCTAATTCATCGCTGGTCACAGATGGGTTTTCCTCTCCCGTCATCCCCTTTTTTCTCTTATTTTTTGGGGGCCGGGGGATCCAATTATTAACAAACTCGTCTCAAGATCACAAATCACAGCTTATTCTGTTCGAGTTCGTGTTCACCTTCCCCATACCAACCCCGTTATCTGAACCCTGCTAATCACAGAAAAATCTGGGTTTGTCTGGTATTATCGAGGCATGGGGATCGGCACTGTCGAGCTACTCCATGTCTGGCAGACGATAGGTACTGAGAGGGAAGGAGGGAGGGAGAGAGAGCAGCGAGCGGCAAAAGAGGAGGGTCATGAAAACTGTGGATCATGATCGTTGTGCGGGGAGATGGGAACGATGATGAATCTGACAGCGACGATAAAAAACAGGGGGACAGCGGGCGGAACGTGGCTGCTGCTGCTGCCGGTAAATCTCCGGCTAGGCATCAGGGGTTTATCGTCTCTGGGGGCCTGCCCCATTCTGCAGGCCCTCCCCCCAGAGCGACAGCCTTATTCAGTATGGCGGCAGGAGGAACGCAGAGCAGCAAAGGTGAAGAAGACAGCGCGTAACCGTATCCAGATTGGCGGCTCCAAGGTTGAGAGCCTCGTCCGCCGCCCGCCGGCAGGCGGCGGCGATCCGGTAGAGCTCCAATCCATCTAGGCGGAGTCCCATCTTTATCCTACAAAGTTCCCGCCCCCGCAGAGTTGATAACCCTATGGCGCTCCTGTTCTTCTCGATAGGGGGTCGTCTTCTTCTCCGTACCATGTACCTATCCACGGGCACGAGCGTACAGGAAACAGTCGAAAGTTGCAGAGGAAGGCCGCGGGGGTGGCGGATGGCACCCTCAGGAGGGGGGCCCGAACGGGCATCTCGTCACGGGAGAGAGCGGATGAAGTTGCAGGTTTCTCAGTCTTCGTGCTCCGAGACCAGCGATCAGCTTGCTGAACTCCTGCTCGCCACTGCCATCATCGAACTAGCGGCCGCTGAACTCCGGCAGCCTCGTCTTCTCATGCTTCACCATTTGTAAACCTCGAGCTCGGAGAGTCTCAGCCACTGCCCACAGAGCGACTCCTGAAATGGTCGCCTTTCTTGGTGTCTGGTATTTCTGCCTCTGCTTCCCTTGCTTTCTCGGACGTAGATGCTCTCTCTCTCTCTCTCTGTTCCTACCTTCTCAGCCGTTCTTTAAGAACTCCATTTCCCCCCAACCGGTGACACAGACCAAAGTTTCGAGTTCATGACCCTGAAACCATTCGAGGGCAATTCCTCGGTAGATCATATAGTTCGACTAAAGAATTACTTGCTCCGTGTGGATGATGATAATCTCCATTCGTCAAGAACCATGAAGACGATTTAACACTGAATTCATCCTCTCCCCATGGATGCAATCGAACACCTCCAGATTCTCGTCAATACTCGTTTTCAATCAACACTGTAGTCATTAGATCAGATCGATACGATCTTTTATGTGTCATGGTTTGGGTCTTTTTTGGATGAAGATAGTTTCGTGGACAAGATTGCTTTTAGTAATGGGAACAGACATGGACGAGCAGGGACCTGCTTCCCTCCGACGGTGCTGATATGCAGAGCGTTGATGAAGGACGAGAAGAGAAAGCATGAACGAGAGACGCCCAATCCTCCGATGAAACAAGAGAACAAAGAGGGAACCCATTTTCTTTCCCCTTTTTATTTCTTTTCCTGGCCGAAATTGTTGGAGGAATTCTGATTATACAAAAGAGTAATGATAATCATATGAATGAAATTTCATCCACGAGAGAGCAACCAGAGATTTCACCGGCGGTATCCATCTCGTCGTCTTCATTCGTGTCGCCGGCGTTCGGACAACAAAATCTTCTTACAAAAGAATTTAGAGTGTCCTGAAAGAATCAAGCATCTAATGGGGGAAGAGGGGGGGAAGGGGTGACTGAGAACTTAGCTATCTACACCTCAAGCCTGAGGATCTTCATAGTTCGCCGCCCCCATCAGTAGGGGAAGAACGATCTGCTTGGCCAGCTCGTCCGGTTCGTGTTCTATTATTCTCATTCGATCTGCTCCCCGATCAGATCCAGGCCGACCAGCAAGAACGAGATTCCCTGAAAGAGGAGGAAGTAGAAGTGTATGCCCTGCGCAGAGAGGAGGCTCCGGGCGGCGGCGGTGAGGAGAAGAAAAGCCAGGGCAAGCTCTTTCCGGTAGATCTTGTTGTGTTTCTTGTGGTCCTTGAGTTGCAGAGAGCCCTCCTTGGCGGCAGCGTCCAGGTTGGGAACGGACAGATTGCGCTGTCTGAGGGGCTTCTCCTTCTCCACCAGGGACAGGAGGTCCCCCTCCGACGAGCGCCCGGATTTCTTCGTCACCACCCACTCGTAGGCGCTACCCAGCTGGAAGAGGCCCGAGATCATGGCAGTGAACTTGGTCACGGACATGGTGTTCTCGAAGAGGAGGTAGGGGACGATGAAGGGGAAGGACTTAGGGGAGGGGAGGATGTTGAGGAAGGACATGGTCGCTGGGATGAAGCAGACCACCCACGATGGGAGCTCCGCCTCCGGCACGAACATGGTCATCGGGAGGATGATGCAGAAAAGAGTGAAGGAGTAGAACGGCAGTATCAGCTTCCGGAGGAGGAAGAAGAGGAGGATCAGGTTGGACTTCTTCCAGAATCCGATCTGCGTGGAAAAGGAAGAACAGCTTCTCGTAAGCTAGAGTTCGAGATCCGCCATGGCGAATTCTTACGGAGGTGGCATCAGACCTTGGCCCGGATGATCTCTGGAAAGCACAGGCGGAAGAGCTGCATGGGGCCCGAATGCCACCGGTGCTGCTGCTTCCGGTAGGCTTCGTAAGATTCCGGCAGCTCACACTGGCACTGAAATGCGGCGACCCACAGAATTCAGAGATCCCACGCGATCACGGCGGGGAAATGCGGCGAACAAGGGTTCGAGTTGGGGGATTACAGACCTCGACATCGTTGAGGAAGACGAACTTCCAACCATTGAGGTGCGCGCGGACGGCGATGTCCATGTCCTCTACCGTCGTCCGCTCCATCCAGCCGCCGGATTCCTCCAGAGCCCTGATCCTCCAGACGCCGGCCGTCCCGTTGAAACCGAAGAAGTTGAGGAAGATGCCGTTTACCTGCTGCTCTACCTCGAAATGGAAGCACAGGTTGATGTTCTGCAGCCGGGTCAGCACATTCTCGTCTTTGTTGACGAAGGACCATCGCGCCTGCACCAGACCCAGCTCCTCGTTGTCCTGCAACCCACCACCATTCCTCCTCGCCGTCAGAACCCAGCCACATCCCCCACCGGATGGAGAATGAGTTTTAGATTAGACTGTCAATGGGGATCGGGAGCCGCCCTCACCCTGAAGTAGGGGACCGTCTTCTTCAGGAAGTCGGGGCCGGGCTGGAAGTCGGCGTCGAAGATGGCGACGAACTCGTAGTCCTTGACGTAGCTGCAGTTCATTGCGGACTTGAGATTGCCGGCCTTGTACCCCTCCCGGATCTCCCGGTGGCGATACACGATGTTGGCGCCGTCGTTCTTCCACTTAGCAACCTCCTCCTCGATCAGGACCCGGGAAAGGGGATCGTCCGAGTCGTCGAGCACCTGGATCAGCATGTTCGTCCTCGGCCAGTCCAAATTGCAGATGGCGGCGATGGACTGCTGATAGACCTGTCGTTGCCATGGAGAGGGGATTCATTAAACCGATCGAGAGTTGCAGATGGGGAAATTTTCTCGGCCTACCTCCTTCTCATTGCACATAGGGATCTGGACGAGAACCATGGGGAAGAAGCCTTTGTCGGCGCCGGACTCGAGGTCCCCCTCTTTCGCCCCGGCGGAGCCGTCGCTTTTGGGCACCGGCTTGATCTTTCTCAGCTTAATCCAGAAGCAGCCGAGGCAGAGGACGAGACGATCGGCGCTCTGGATGAGGAAGAGGACGACGCAGACGTTGGCAAGGAACTGGAGAGGGGGAGCGAGGTACTCCGCTCTCACCATCACCCACCCCGAGTAGAACCAGTCGAAGATGCTCCGTACGCGGAGAGGGCCGTAGGCGAGGAGCCGCTGAAGCTCTGGGGCGGCGCCGCCCAGATGCCATCCCTTGAAATAGGCCGCTACCTCGAAGCCCAGCATCGCCAGTGACAGGAAGAGGAACAGCTTGATGCAGGAGTAGAACCGCGCCCGCAATCCCCGGCTGGCTACCGGCACCATCTCCTCCTTCTCCTCCTGCTCCTCGTCGGCGGCGTCGGTCCTCCCCGAGGCGACTCGGCGGCGGACAGCGGAGGCGACGCTGGAGGCGGCGGCGGCAAGAGAGGAGAGGCACCCGGCGGCTCGGTGGGCGCGGAGGAGGAGGACCCATGTGAGTTGCTTGGCGTTCCTCCCGCGGGCTCCCTTGAGGCCGCCGGGGGAGGAGAGGGCGGCGAGGTCATCCTCCTCGGGGGACGACAGCTCCACAACGGAGTAGTTGGGGTTCGACATTTTGACGACCACTGGCGTCGCCCGCGGCTTCTCGTTGGACCACCAGAACAACGATGGCGCCATCGCCACCTCCCTTCTCTTATCCCCTTCCTTCCCCTCCCCACCCTTCTTCCTCTAAAGCCAAATCTCCAGGTCCCTCTTTCACATAGTGCACAGAGCAACGAACCCCCAATGCACCTCCTCTGTTCCTCCTCTTCTCCTATTCTCCTACTTCATTTCAGTGGAGAGCCTGGAGAGCCACAGACAGAGCCAGAGTGAGAGAGAGAGAGAGACGTCGGTAATGGAGGAAGGGGGGAGGAGAAGGAAGGAAGGAAGGAAGGAGGAAGAGTCCAAAACTTGGTCCTCGTCAGTTACAGCTTGCAAGCAGCTATGCTTTCCGGAAAAAAGTAAGGGAGTGAGAGGGGAGGAGCTCCAATAAGCGACGGTGGATGCCCTTTCCTGCCCTCTACGACGACAATTACCCCCCAACCTTTATTACACAGATGGAGAGAGCTTCCCTCCGTTTCAACTCTAACAGCGGCCGCCGACGGCGACCGAGGCCCCTGAGGCGAAGAGGGCCGGCGATCCGTCCGAGACCTAGCCGTGCCTGCACGTGCGCAAGATCTCAGGAAGACCGATGCCGTCAACCTCAATAAGAAAGCCGACGGCCCTCCGACGGGACGGACTCTACTACTCCCTGGTTGGTACCCGAAGAATAGGAAGGTCGATCTGTTCTGGACGGTGGCGCGGGATTAAACTCATCGACAGGATCCTTCTTCTTCTTTCCTCCTCGTTCCTCCTTCCCGCTGGCCCACACTTTCACGTTACGCAGTGCCCCCCCCCTTTCTGTTCTATGCCCCCAGCTGCTACGTCAAAACAAACAGAAATCGTAGTCTGGGAGAGAGAGGAGAGCATAGCTGGCCCGCATTTTTCTTTCGCTTTCCTCTCTATTTCCCCAGTCGCGGATGAAACCCGGAAATCTCGAGGAACTGGCCTTATCCCGACATTTATTGCATTTGTTTTCTTACGTGGAATATATTTCAATGCGCATAATGGGGAAGAGGTAGAGAGAGAGAGAGGAGAGAGGGAAATCCACGGCTAAGACTCTTCCTGCTACTTGTCCGATTTTTAAGAGGGGGTCCACTCCACTTTCCCCCCCATCGATGCCCTCCTCCGTCGTCAGTGTAATTGCTGCACAGACAGACCTACACGCCACGCTCGTGTGGCCTCCTTCCTTGGGTTCCTTCCGTGCCTGCCGACGGCCGCTCGCCGGCGGACGGGTCGGGGCTCCGCCGCCGAGCGGCGCCAGCTGGGCTCTGCTCTCCTCTCCGTGAAGGGAGAGGCCATGCCCTCTTCGTGAGAGATCACACGCCACATTAACTACTGCAGACTTTCGTAGGATCGCATCCATATTTATTGGTCCGTAAGGTACCTTGATTTATAAAACATAAAAATTCGAACTTTCATCTCTCTCTCTCTGTAGGATTGCTGCGGCGGCGACGGTAGACGACAAGCGGAGGGACAGGAAAGAGATAGGGACGGGCTCGTCGCTCGCCGGAGATAAGACACAGAGACCGTGGTAGGGCTCGTCCACCGTAACGACGCCGGCGAGCCTGCACGTGACGGCGCCGCCGGGGTAGTTTGAAATCCCTGCAGAGGCGATTATATTTCTGGTTCGAAGACCTGATCACATACTGAAGCTGCTCGCTTTATTGTCCGCTGGAGAGAGACACAGTAGGGCCGGTGGACTGCCATGGTAAAACCCTTTCCCAGTTCCCACCATTCTCGTGGGCAACCGGCCCCTCTCTCCTCGCCGGCCGGCGCCATTAGAGCACCGTCGGTGCTGCGGCGATCGAGCCCTCCCCTCCCCTTACAGCTCTGTTCGATCAACAGAGAGGGGATGTGAGGGCACCGACACCTGGAGATCGTCGGCAAAATGGCTGGGACGGAGGGATAAACAAGAAAGAAGAAGGCGGCGACTCTGTGCTACAGAAGCCGCCGCGTGTGGGGGAAAATGGGCGGAGACCCACGGGGCTCCACCTGCCGATGGCACAAGGGCTCTCGGCCGGCGCCATGTGCGTATTAACGTGAGCTACCTCGCCGCGCTGTAAGATTCCGACCGACCCTCGGCACGTCGGCTGGAAGCCACGCCGACTTCAAGCTTCTAGCGACCGACAGCTGAGGCTGGCACGGCTGCGCGCTTGGGAGCCATGCACGTGCCGATTCGAAGGGTCCTGATGCCGCCGCCTTATTCACGTGCCCTTTCCCCCAATAATTAGCTCCGGAAATGACGCAACTTGAGCTGGATACCCTCCCTGTTCAGACTTCTCTCCCTTCAATTAGCTCTCTGATGGGCGTAAATCTTCCAGAGACTGCGGCAGATCTGTCGACTGACACCGTCGGCATGAAGAATTCAAGCGACCTCTCGGACAGGTGGGTTTTCGCAGCTGCCCTCTCGTCGGCGCCCTCCCGTAGTCCGCTCAGTCCGAAGGTTCCGATGATGGCTTGTGAGTGGAGCTCGCATGGATGGGATGGACGGAGGGGTATCCAGAGAGAGAGAGAGAGAGAGGCTGTTGGTGAGAATCTGTGATAAATCACGCGGGTCTTTCACATTGTGCTGAAAAATCATAGGCTATAATCTAAAACAACGTAATTATGCTTGGCTCTTGAAAGTCGAGATTTTTTCTGAACTCCTCGTCTACGACGGCCATACCCCGCTGCCCACCGACCGGGCTGCGGCAGCGGGCGGGGCTCCCCTCCCCGGTGGTCAACCTGATCAGTGGAAAGTCGCCATTGAGGGGACGGTCGGAAGATCGTAAGGCGTGCATAACTCGTCTCCACATGAAATGCCGCCTCCTTCGGTAGATGTATTTTCCTATTCACTGACTGGTTCGTGCATAAATCTCTCTCTCTTCCTCTCTCCCTTTCTTTCTCATGTACTCTATGTGGCTGATCTAGGCCATTTTCCATCAAGTTGGGACCACGGCTCGCGCATTAATAGCGAAGTGCTGGATTTTATCGCAAAGTCTCCCCCAAGAGTTGACTTGAGCTATTACGAGGGGAATGGCCGTGGTCGTATCTGGGCCCACCAGTGACTGTAAGGGAACGCCTCATTGTGGACCCACCCACTCAAATGGGCCAGCATCCATCCGCCCACAAATTGATGAGGGGGGGGATTGGGGGGGCCTTTTATCCGTGGAGCTTGAACGATCTCGCCCTGGTCATTAGATGCTGATAATGGGCTCATGGATGTATTCTCAGGTGAGAAACATGCGACGCCATTGGTGCCCATCTCGCGACCTTCTTGGGCTCTCTCGGCTGTCCACGGAGATCGCCCGCCAGACAAACAGCCCAAGATGACAGTTTTATGTGATAGAACAGGACGGACACTTGTCGACCGCGTTGATTCGTAGGGTTAGGTTTTCGTCTTGGTGGTTGAAGCTTCGATCATGCGTTTCTCTTCCGCTTGGCCCCTCCCCGAGGGGTCCCTTTCGAGTTCTTCGATGCCGGAGATTGTGGCCCCTGACGTCCCACGGAGAAGCTCCACAGTGCCCGTTCAACGTCCGAGGCGGTGAAGGGACACCCTTCCTCGGTCAGTTCCTGTAGAGTAGAGTGGATCAATCCGTCCGCAGGGTTTTAGCCCATATCAAGCTCGGGGAAGCAGAAATGGCGGAACCAGAGGAGGGATGAAATGGCTGACCTTCGCTTTCTTCTGTAGCTTTCTGGCAAAGGCGAGATACTGCTTCAAGGTGTACTCCTTGTTCCCCAGCGCCGCCATCATCGCCTTCCAATGGAGTCAAAACAGGGAGGTTTTAGTCCTCAAACAGGGAGACTTCCCTCTCTCTCTACTGGTCTAGAAATCAGAGCGCTCGATCTCGAGAGGATGGGGAGAGTGAGTCACCTCATCAGACATGAACGGGCCGAGATCGGGAGCATAGGCCGCAAGCACGGCGGATGCCGTCGCCGGGCCGACGCCCTTCAGAGTCGTCAGCTCCGAGATGGCCTTGGAGAGATCAGGAAGAGCCCCGAAGGCCCTCCGGGAGGCGGATTCGACCTGCGTTTCCTCCAGCTTGGACACGAAATCCTGCAGCCGCGGCCTGAGAGACCCCAAACCCTAATTCAGATTGTTGAAGATGACCGGCGAAAAGCCCTAATATTCGATAGGGGATGACTCGATCGGCGGTTACCTCCATTTCCCCCGGGAGAGTTTCCACTGCATGAGCTTGGACAGTTCCGGCTTGCTCATGTAGGGCTCGGGGTCCCTCTGCTTGAGAAGCAGAGGTAGCTGGTTCTGGTAGAAATCATCCAGAGGGAGGAGCTCTGGCTTATGGAGCGACTCGAGGCTTGCCTGGTAGGAGGAGAGTGCTTCCCTCCAAGCTCCCACCTTGGAGCACCCCATCAAATCCATGCCGCAGACGAAAGCTCGGAGAAGGGAGGGAGAAGAAGCCGCCCAATCGCCGTGTTCGAACCAGTCGACCCTATAAAGGCCCTCCGAGAGAGCTTTTAACCCAATAGTGCCCCTACCTTCAACCCTGCAGCTCAAGCCAGCTGCAACCCGGCTGCTTCAGAGCTCCGCTCATCCTCATTTGCTTCCTCATGGCGGAAGCCTCTTCCCATTGGCCAGCGGCGGCATTGAGGTTGGATAGCAGCACGTAGATCGCCGGATTCCCAGGCTCCTTCTCCAGCAGAGAATTAGCTGCAATCCTTCCGAGTCTTACATGTCCGTGGGTGATGCAAGAACTGAGCAGTGCCCACCAGAGACGGGAGTCCATTTCTTGCGGCAAGCTCTCGATCAGGGTCTCAGCCTCCTCCATGTGCCCTGCTCGAGCTAGCAGATCGATGACACAGGAATAGTGATCCACTCCAGGTTCTATCCCGTGTTGATCGATCATGGAAGACAAGATCCAGCGGGCCTCACTGACCAGACCAGCATGGCTGCATCCAGAGAGGACATTGATGAACGTGACGCCATCTGGCCGAACACCCAGATCCTGCATATCTCTGAAGCAGGAGAGGGCTCGTTCTCCATCTCCGTTCTGCGCATAAGCAGCTAGCATCGCATTCCAGGAGATTATATTCTTCTCGGGCATCCCGTAGAAAACCCCAGAAGATGAGTCCAGATCCCCACATTTGGCGTACATGGTAATGAGCGCATTCGCCAGCGAAATTTCAGACTCGGAGCAAGTTCTGACCACGTGGGCGTGGACCTGCTTTCCAGGTCTCAGAGCCGATATGCTACCACAAGTGCTGAGGACGATGCTGAGGGTGTACTCATTCGGGCAATGCGCAGATGCCATGAAAGCAGAAAAAAGCTCCAGGCCCATCCATGGACGGCCGTTCAACACGCAGCCAGATAGAACCGAATTCCAAGAGATGAGGTTCCTCAAGAACATTCCGCAGAATATCGCGTAGGCATTATGGACCTCTCCATGCTTTCCATACGCGACGATCAGGGAATTGCAAACGTGGGTGCTGTCGGTCAGTCCGTTCTTGTTCACTAGAGCGAGAATCGTGTTTACATGATCCAAAACTTCAGAACAAACCAAGAGGCTTCCATAGGTGAACTCATCCGGCCGAAACCCAGCCGTCTGCATCCCTCGGTAGACCTCGAAACCTGATTCATGGCGACCCCGTTGACTGTAACCTGAAAGCATAGAATTCCAAGAGACCAGGTCCTTGTCCATGATCGTGTCGAACACTAAACGAGCATCGGTCAGATTCCCGCAGTTGGAGTACATTGTGACCGCGGCGTTGCCAACCAGCGCAGAATCATCGAGGCCTGTTCTCACGGCTAAAGCGTGGACTTGCCGTCCCATTTCCTCAGATGAGCATGCGCTCAGAATACTCACCAGAGTCAACTCGGTAGGCCTGAAACAAGCTTCAGATCCCAACATCTCCTTGAGGACCCAGGCCGCCTCCTCACCCCTTCCCCAGCTCGTAAGCCCTGCTATGACTGCGTTATATGTGATCTCATTGCCTGCTACAGCTGCAGCTTCTGCAAATAGATCCAGCGCCTCAGCGATCATCCCCACGTTGAAGTACATGGTCACGAGGGCGTTGACCACGGAGGCCCTGGCCATGTCAAACCCAGCTTTCACAGCCACCGGGTGGAGCTGCCTGCCGAGATCCGACGACTCCGGCGAGTCGCATAAGCTCAAAATACTGGCAACGGCGTACTGATCAGTCTCAACACCCGCCTGGCGCATCCTGCGGAACAGCCGGAGGGCGGACTCCCCGTGCCCATTCTCTCCAAACCCTGTGATCAATGCATTCCATAGCGCCACCTCCCCTTGCGGCATTTGGTCGAAAAGCTGCAGGGCGCGACGGACCTCCCCGGACCTCGCAAAGGCTGAGAGGAGCGTGGTGCGTGAGTAGACGTCAGGGGAGGAGATCTCGCCGAACAGTTGGTGGGCGATCTCTTGTTCGCCTGTGCTGGAGTAAACGGCGAGGAGTGAATTGGCGACATGGCGGAAGGACAGGAGCCCGGACCGGACGGCGAAGGCGTGGAGCTGCGTTGCCGCGGCATTGGCGCGAAGGTTGGCGCAAGCGGTGAAGGCGCCGACGAGGGAGTAGTGGTCCGGCGACAGGCGGTAGGAGGACTGAATCTGGGTGAAGATACGGAGGGCCTCCCAGCTCCTGCGGGAGCGAGCGAGATTGGAGACGGCGGAATTGAGGCTGACGAGGTGGGCTGCGGCGCCGATACTCATCAAATTGGGCGGATAAGCTCACCGTACTTGTCCGTAACTTGGTCAGTATCCTCGCCTCCTCGGAGGATCCCACTTCTATGTAGAGCGGTTTTGGAGATAACTAATTGACTATAATACCCTTGATTTGGTTCCAAATCTACCTCACCACCCACCGGCGTTTGATGGCCTAATCAACCCCCGTCTTTCAGAGGAATACCCGAGCTAGTTTTTCTTCTCCGTCCCTTTCCTCGGCTGTGATCCCGAATGCCCTTCTCGAAGAACCATCTACCTCGTCTTTCAGGGCGCCGATCTCTCAACTGGCATCTGGAAGTTCGTATCTTGCGACCTTACTTCTGCACAGAACCTTACGAGGGCTTTGGCTGGGGGGACATGGGACGATGAGGTGCGGTTGCTCTTTATCTTCTTTTCCATGCATGCATCTTCTCTGGACCTGGCCTGTTACCTCCTTCGGGATGAACGTAATTTCTGATGCTAGAGTCTAGTCATCGTCACCAATGTCCGGGCGTCCAAAACCCTAGTTCTTAAAAACTTTGATTGACCATTGATCCCCGGGCCCGTTACCTCTTTGGTGTATCATGATGGCGATTAGTTTCTAGTTTTATAAATACGTCGCTTGTGGAGATGTGAAAGGGAATCAGCTCACAGTCGAGCAATTTTATGTGAAACGCTCTCGCAGAAGTCCGTCCGTTCATTTCTCGAGATGCTTTTCACTGATAAATTGTGTTTGTCCTCATAAAAGGGGCACTCAGCTCTGTTTGTCGTGATTTCTTCGTTGTAGGTTACTGATGACCTTGTTGGCAATCTTTCTGGATCTTGTCTTGGAGGTTTCTTCAGTGCTCAGCAATTTCTAGGGTAGGGGACATATGGAAGCTTAAACTGTTCCTAAACGTCATAATTTTCCTGGTATTGAAACTGTGTATGCGCTACAAGTTAGATGGTGCATGCCCAATTGCTGCCATAGGAGGCTCCGTTTGGGGAAGTATGTTAAATCTTTGGTGAGTGTGAGGGCTGGAGAACATCAAGGGCTTTGTTACTAAAGCTTGAAAATATTTCAAAAAAATATACATAGTAGAATTTTTTTTCTTCTGTCAATACCTTTTCTGATATTCCAGATTTCGTGGAATTTCTCATTAATTTTTTTATAATGAATATAGTTTTATTATAGCTGCTCTGTTCTTTCTGTCTTTTCTTTCCATGTCTCATTGAGAGCGCTGCTGCACATCATCAAGGCAAGAATTCCTAGGATTTTGGTGCCAAGGCATAGAAATATTTTCACAAAAATTACAGAAAAAGTCAACATAGGAATTAATTCGGCTTGGGCCTTTTTTTTATAATTTATTTCCATGTTTGATTCAGAACGCTGCTGCTTTTCATCAGAGAGTCCAGGGGGAAGCTGAATTCGATTGCCCTGGCTGCAGTTCTCGGCTGAATTCGAATCCTCATAGAAGGAAAATTCTGTATACCTAGGCTTCTCCCTTTCACTGGGTAGTAACGTCCTTTGATGGAGGAGGGCTTTGTGCCATCGACGCCAATGGAGAACTACAGTTTTGCCGTCGGTCAAGAATTCCCAGACGTGAAGACGTTTCGGAGGATTATAAAAGAGGCCGCCATCGCACAGCACTTTGAGCTGAGGATTGTGAAGAGCGATCTCATCCGCTACTTTGCCAAGTGTGCCAAGGAGGGCTGCCCCTGGCGCATCCGCGCCGTGAAGCTACCCAATGTGCCAACTTTCAAAATAAGGAGCCTCGAGGGAACCCACACCTGCGGCAAGAACGCCCAGCTCGGGCATCACCAGGCATCAGTTGACTGGATTGTAGCCATCATCGAGGAGAGACTGCGGGACAATATGAACTACAAGCCTAAGGATATACTGGAAGACATTCAGAAGCAGTATGGGATAACAATACCCTACAAGCAGGCTTGGCGGGCGAAGGAACGGGGGCTCGCCTCCATATATGGGTCTTCTGAGGAGGGTTACTGCCTTCTCCCTTCCTACTGCGAGCAGATTAAGGGGAGCAATCCGGGGAGTGTCGCGCAGGTCTTCACCACTGGGGCAGATCGCCGATTTCATCGGGTTATTGTTTCCTTCAATGCTTTGATCCATGGCTTCATCCATGGTTGTGCGCCGGTCCTCTGCCTCGGTGCCCTGGAGCTGAAGAGCAAGTACCTCGGCTCCCTGCTTTCTATCACATCATTTGATGCTGATGGGGGTTTGTTTCCGGTTGCCTATGGTATCGTGGATGTGGAGACCGATGACAGCTGGATGTGGTTCTTGTCGGAGTTCCAGAAGCTGCTGGTGATGGGCGGAGTAGCCCCACCTCAGCTCACGATCCTCTCTGATGGGCGGAGAGGCATCGACGATGCTGTGAAGAGGAACTTCCCTGCCGCGAACCATGGGGTGTGCCTGCGATATTTGACCGAGAGTATGGGCAGAGAGTTTAAGAACTCAAGGTTAGTCCATCTTTTGTGGAAGGCAGGCTCTTCAATCACCACAATAGCTTTCAGAGAAAGGATGGCGGAGATCGAGGAAGTGTCTGCTGATGCAGCGAGATGGATTCAAAAGGTTCCGGCCTGCCGGTGGGCGGTGCCCTACATTGAAGGCCCTCGGTATGGCCATCTTGCATCGAATGTTGAAGAGTTAAGCCAGTGGATCCTCGACGCCCGGGAGCTCCCCATAATCCAGGTCATGGATCGGATCCACAGCAAGCTGATGGCGGAGTTTAAAGAACGCAGTGAGAAAGCAGCGGCATGGGGATCGTCCATACTCGTCCCATCTGCAGAGAAGCGCATGACAGAGGCAGTCCAGCTTGCAGATGCCTACCGAGTGCTTCGCTCCGATGAGGTGGAATTCGAGGTCCTGTCGGCCGACCGTTCAAATATTGTGAACATCGGCACCCGTTGCTGCTCGTGCCGCGATTGGCAGCTGCATGGGATTCCATGCTCCCATGCCGCCGCCGCCATCCTCTCGTTCAGGAAGGACATTCACGGGTATGCGACCGAATTTTTCAAGGTCGCTAAGTACCAGGAGGCATATTCTCGGCCGATCAACCCCCTTCCCAACAAAAGTCAATGGAGCAAGGCCGGGGAGGGCTTGCCCGACGGCAGCAGCGGAACTGTGCGGCCGCCAACGTTCCGCCGCCCGCCGGGGCGACCGGAGAAGAAGCGCTTGTGCACAGAGGAGCTCCCGCGGGAGAAGCACATTGTGCATTGCAGCCGCTGCAATCAGACAGGGCACTACAAGAGAACATGCAAAGCCGAGCTCATCCAGAGCATTGAATTATAGATCTCCGCGCAGGCTTTGGACTGTTTAGCAGGATAGAATTCGAGATTTCTGGATAGAGCGAGCTTCTTGGTGTACATTAGATGTATATGATTAATCACACGGTAGTTTGCTCCACAATCTTGAACGGAAGTCTGTGCAGCTGTACCGATGGCCATAACTCCATGACTACAATGAATTACGAGGGGACCGGGGTCTAGAGGATTTCCCTTTCTTCATGTTCTGTCGCCTTCATTCACTCCACATCTTAAGGAAGATTGGTGGATGGGAGTAGGAATCGATCGAGCCCCCCTGTAGAAAGATCTGCAGGGAAGCTGAGCTTGTTTTCTTCATGGTGTTCGTATGTATGGTCCAGAACTTCATCGAGAAGTAGCAGCGATTGAGGAGGATAGGCAATTCAGGAAGAAATTCGGCTATCTTCTCCAATGGCTTTGTGCCGATAATCTCACTCGACGGAGAGATGAACACACTGGTAGTCAAGTATACGCAAAATCGCGACAAGGATTTTCTTCATTGAGGTTTCAGTGCCTCCTACAGGCCAAGCCGGAGACGAACGCTCTGCCAATAAGCAGACGATGAGGGCCGCGGGGCGCCGGTTCCTCCCCTCGCGCAGGAACGAGGGCGCGGTCGGCTTCCGTGGCGAGGCCGTCTGTGCCTTCGCTTCCTACCCATCAGCGGGGGATTTCTCCGGCGGCAGCTCGGGGAGGAACAAGGTAACCGACGACTACGCGTCGGAAGTGGAGAGAATCTACCGGATACTACGCAAGTTCCATTCCCGGCCGCCGAAGCTCGAGCTCGCCCTCCAAGAGTCCGGCGTCCGCCTCCGCCCGGGCCTCGTCGAGCGCGTCGTCCGCCGCTGCGGCGACGCCGGCGCCCTCGGTTTCCGCTTCTTCGCGTGGGCCTCTCGGCAGCCCGGCCAGCCGGTCACCGCCGACGCTTACAGGTCCATCGTGAGGATGCTCGGGAAAATGCGGCAGTTCGGCGCCGCCTGGGCTCTCGTCGAGGAGATGAGGCGGGAGAATCCAGAGTTCATCACCCCGGAGATCTTCATCACCATGATGCGGCGGTTCGCCTCGGCGCGGATGGTTGGGAAGGCCATCGAGGTGCTCGACGAAATGCCCAAGTACGGCTGCGAACCAGACGAGCACGCCTTTGGCTGCCTCCTGGACGCCCTGTGCAAGAACGAGAGTGTGAAGGAAGCGGCGTCGCTGTTCGAGGACATGCGAGAGCGATTCCCGCCGACGCTGAAGCACTTCACCTCCCTGCTCTACGGCTGGTGCCGGGCCGGGAAGCTGGCCGAGGCCAAGCACGTCCTCGTCCAGATGCGAGCGGCCGGCCTGGAGCCAGACATTGTCGTCTACAACAACCTGCTCGGCGGGTACGCCGCCGCCGGCAAGATGGAGGACGGGTACGAGCTCCTGCGCGAGATGAAGAAGAAAGGGTGCAACCCCAACGCCGTCTCCTACACCACGTTGATCCAGGCGCTCTGCTCCCTCGAGAGGACCGACGAGGCCATGCGCCTCTTCGCCGAGATGCAGCAGCACCGTTGCCCTCCGGACGCAGTGACCTACACTACGCTGATCGGCGGGTTCTGCAAGCGGGGAGACATCTCTAGGGGCTACGAGCTGCTCGGCGCAATGATCCAGCGGGGCTGCGCGGGGAACCAGGCCGCCTACCTCCACATCCTGGCGGCGCACGAGAAGAAGGAGCAGCTGGAGGAGTGCCTGGGGCTCGTCGGAGAGATGAGCAAGGTCGGGTGTCCCCCCGACCTCCACATCTACACGCTGCTGATCCGGCTGGCCTGCAAGCTGGGGGACCTGAACCGGGCCGCCGCTCTCTGGCGAGAGATGGAGACCGCAGGGCCGAGCCCCGGGCTCGACGCCTTCGTCGCCATGGTGCACGGCTTCCTCGAACAAGGTTCTCTGGTCGAGGCCTGCGCCTACTTCAAGGAGATGGTGGCGAGGGGCCTGCTGGCGGCGCCGCCGTACGGGACCCTGAAAGAGATCTTCAACACCCTGCTGAGGGCCGAGAAGCTCGACCTGGCGATGGAGCTGTGGGGATGCATGGCGGGCGGGGGCTGCGAGCTGAACGTCGGCGCGTGGACGATCTGGATCCACGCGCTGTTCAGCCGGGGGCACGTCAAGGAGGCCTGCGCGCAGTGCCTGGAGATGATGGACGCGGGGCTCATGCCGCAGGCCGACACGTTCGCCAAGCTCATGAGGGGCCTGCAGAAGCTCTACAACCGGCAGATCGCTGCGGAGATAACAGAGAAGGTGAGGAAGATGGCAGCCGAGAGGAGCATAACCTTCAAGATGTACAAGAGGAGGGGGGTCAGGGACCTGAAGGAGAAGGCCAAGGCGAAGGTAGACGGGAGGAAGAGGAGAGCACGCAGGCGTCGCTGGGGCTCCCCTGCGGGTGCACCTCTTTCTCCTCCTCCATAGTTTGTCTCCAACCCCAAAGCCACCGTGACCAAATCAAAGCACCTTCTTATTATCTATCAATCTTCCGCTCTCGCGGGGATCACAACTTTCAATGGCCACATGGAATCTTAGTACAGGCAGTTCGGGCTTTTCAATTTACAGAAAAGACCATCACTGACAAGCAAAGTCTGTGTCCTGATAGTCTGTCTCGTCGTAAATCTCCTCCTGACGGTACAGACGAGATGTCATGCAGGGCTCCGGGGGAACAGTAAAATATGGCTGACGATTGGAAGAGAAGGCCTCCCACGTTACCTGCAGCAGCTCTTCGATGACGTCCTCCATTGTTATTATGCCGACGGCTTCCTCATCTTCGTTCAGACTGGGAAGAGGGGCCTCGTTGACCTTCAGAATGTCAGAGAATGCATCTCTCGACCGCCAACTACTACCTCTGGTAGAACCCCTGTTGGAGCTCTGGGAACCTCCGGGCAAGCTCTTCCGTTTGTTTATTGGCCTGTAGCTCTTCACGCTTAGCTCATTTGGTCTGTGGCCGTCAATTTCCAGTTTGACATCTGTTTCAGAGAACTCGTCGACTGTGTCAGATAACATCAAGTCGGATTTTAAAGGTTCGACTCTTTTCCTCATTCTTACCGCCATCAGCATGCATGCCCGGCTGCTCCGTTGGATGAATCTGCTTTACGACTACTGCCATGTGGCTGTGGCCTTTTTGGAACTCATTCAGAATGTCGTACAGAGGCCTGTCTTCAGTGACCCTAAACGTGACGAAGTATAAACAGATCATTTAGAAAACACAATGCAGTTTACAAGTTCATCACGGCACAGAAAAATGATCATATTCCTCGTCCTTGAATTGAAGTTTTGAGCTGGGAATTATATATCTCACCAAAAACTGGGCTATAATTTGAGGAATGTTTAAATCTATCCGCACCTATGACAATGAAGTTTTACTTCATTTCCTCAGTACTGATCGGTCGAACACAGACAATAGCTGGGGGAACATGATGTGTCCAAGTGCTCTCAACATTAGGGGGAACATGTTGGAAAGCCATAGATGGATTTTAATAAATTAGACATAAGAGGAGAGGTATGCCGATTCACATGTATCTTCAGCCAACCATATGGTCAACTGGCCCATATCATCTTATTTGAAAGAGAGAGACAGAGAGTGGAGCTAATCCATTCTCATCCCCACTCAGAGACAAAATTTCACATTTTCCTGTCAGGTGGATCAAGAGAAATTTCTCTGTAATTTTTGAAATGTAAAACAATGAAAACCGATGGATAAGAGTTGCGAAAATATCTGGGTAGTTCTAGAATCAATAAAATAATTAAAAATGCCAAGAACAGTATAATTTCCTATTAACGATAGTTTTCTCCTAGTTCACTGTTTTAAGATACAAACATCAGGAGTTGAACATAGATATCAAGCATGGGCCAGTGGAGAAGATGCACGACCTTAGCTGACTGAGACAGCAGTGCAGACTTTGTCACAATTTTAATGGACAGTATGGTACATAATTACCATGATGCCATACGCTCCAAAGTATGACAACATCATTTTCACAGAGCATTGACATTTCCCTCGACCAATTATGAATAAGCACGCAAAGTAAATCTTCAACATCTATTTCAAAGTTCAGGTTCAGAACGAGAAAATTTCTCTGGTACACGTAGCCCATATTTTCATACAGTAGAAATTTTCAAAGTAAATAATTCTTCTTCCACCATACCGTGGTATTTTGCGGATTGTAACATTCATAACTGGCACCTCATCTGTTGGGTGAATGTATAATAAATTCTTTACCTGAAATTTCGAAACATAGATTCCACAGAGTGAAAAACATGGTGTTCAAGAAGATGAAAGTGAAAAGCTCGAGACTCAAGTGAGACAAACGTGTACCAAAATCAGTCCAACTATATTTGTTGGTTTGCCATAGTACACTGGAACCCTACTGTGACCTTTATCCAAAATCATCTGCATTAATTCTCTGGAAAACAAATAAGCTGCGTCAAACCCACGAACACAGAATTAATAAATATGAACGTGGAACCAAAGTAAACATTGTTTTTAATGAGAGACGAAGAATTGTACCTGTTGAATTTTGCATTAATGTCAATTGAAAAAGTCTCTGATATAGAGGTCATGGCATCGCTAGCTTTTTTATCGGAAAGCTCAAGTGCTCCAGCAATGATAGTTGTTTCATCATGCGTCAGCTCCCCACCCTTCCCTGCCTGTTTACAGTCATCACTATGTAGGTTTTACCGAGCAACCAAGAACAAGAGTTTTGCAACAACTAGAGTCAGACGGTCTCAGATAGCAGGTGACAGAATTTTTTTTGGTAAACTTAAACTTCTTAAAAAACACGTCTACCGTGCAAGCTGATTTCACATTGATTGGTTTGTCATATTGTGTACGTTTCATAGATTGAGAGACAAATACCTCATTCCCGTGCAAGGTAACAAGTGTTTTCAGCTCTGCTCTACGAAAGAGAGCTATGTGCCCGTTTCCAAGCAAACAGTCTAATAACTGGGAAACCAATAAACATCTGAATTTAGTAATTGCAGCAGCATTTGATTATCGTTTTATTAGAAGATAGAGGTGTTGAAAAAGTATGAACATAGTTCTCAACAAAAAAAATAATACCTTACTGATCGGATATGCGACTGGGGAGCATATCCAAACGAGAACACGTACAAGAGGTGCCACAGCTGCACCAATTGCCAGGCCGTAGCGAGAACAGACAGCCTGTGGGATAATCTGCCAGGTAAAGGGCGAAAACAGACGAAAATAAACCATAGCTCAGTTCACATAACATAATTTGAAGGTATCGCACTTAGAAATGGTGAATGTAAGTCAATATCCAAACCTAAACGTGGATTGTTATTCCAAAAGGCAGTAAATATCTCTTCCTACCTCCCCAAATAGAAGCAATAATGTCACTGAAATCAATATAGCTCCCCATGCTGTAACCAGAGTATCAAGAAAAATAGGAAGTGCCTGAAACCAGAATAAATTTTTCAGGTCGACAACATCCTAGGACTCGTACCGCATGGTGAACTGATGATAATTCCTGTTAGCTTACCTCCATAGCTGCAGCATTACAGATAAGAAGAGTGCAAAGCAGCAGGTGCTGCTTCTGAACAACGGGCAGTATCTTTGCTGCGAAAAATAGATAATGACAAGGTTGATCATCTAAACTTTGCATCAATCCGTGCACTTCAAATAATCCCCAACACAGGCAATTATACATAGAATATCGAGCAACTAATGAGGATTATAAATGAATAGATAAGAGAATATCGAGTTGAAGTCTAAATCAAGCAGGAATAAATAAAAAAAAGCAGAAAGAATGAACGAACTACCGGCATGCTTGCGATCGTTCGGCGTGCCAGACTTGGCAAGGACTTCGAGGTCGACCAGGCTCATAGACATCAACCCCAGCGTCAGCCCAGACATCATCCCCGCGAACACCACAAGCAGCACGATGATCGCTATGTGGAAGAAGAACTGCGGCTGACAGCAGTGGTACTCCACCGCCATCGAGAGATCACCACTAGTAAACCCTAGCACTATGATTTCCTCTGCACAACCAGACACCCGACCTGGTGGCCCGCTCGAACAACTTCACGACGGCACACCCCAAACAAAAATATATCACAACAGCAAGGAAGGACGTCGAAGTTTCCAAATGGACTCAACCAAACCTGTGCTCTGTCTCCTAGTTCTTTTAGAAAAAAACAAAATCCGGCAGAAGCTGGCTTTCCGGACCGACACATAGGCCGTCCAACAAAGACATCAGGAAGGCGAGTGTACAGCCGGGGGAGGGGTGGAGGTAGAAGAACGAGGCGGAGGGGCGCTCTTTCAGCTCTGCCTCAGGTGGTGAGGAGATGCGGCGCCATTGCTCCTGCGAGGTCCTTTCCGAGGGGAGAAGAAGAAGCTCCAACGCTCGGGGTGGGCAAACTCCGGCTGACAGGTGGCGCTTCCAGCGGCTTCGGTGTCCAGAACGAACTTGGCGGGAACGGGAACCGTTCCCTCGAAATCACCACCCATCGATTTATAAATACTTTAGCCGTCCGGCCCAAGCCCATTAGCAGATGTGGGACCCACTCGCCCCTTTTTCCCCTGCTTGAGTACCTTCTCCGGGGGTCACAGCCAGCGGCGGGGAGAAATGGCGGCGACGTCGCTTCCCTTGCCGAACGTGGGGGGCGTCGGAAACCCTAATTTCGATGGGAACCCCGCGGGATCGGCCATGCCCGCTGCGCCGGGGACGGACATGACGGGGATATGCTTCCGGGATCAGCTGTGGCTTAACACCTACCCCCTAGATCGGAACTTGGTGTTCGATTATTTTGCCCTCTCTCCCTTCTACGACTGGACCTGTAACAATGAGCAGCTCCGCCTCCGATCCGTCCACCCCCTGGACACCGCCCATCTCTCGTAGGTGTCTGCAGAATTCTTCATGGGGATGGTCGTTGGGGTGATCGCTTCTTTGTTGATGCTGATTTTGATTTTTGTGCGCATAGAAAGATGACGGGGAACGAGTACATGCTCAGCGAAGTGATGGAACCTCATTTGTTTGTGATCCGGAAGCAGAAGAGGGATGGCCCGGAGAAAACCACGCCATTGCTGACCTACTACATCCTTGACGGATCCATCTACCAATCCCCGCAGCTTTGCAATGTCTTTGCTGCGCGTATTGTAAGCTCCTGTTGGGTTTCTGGTTTTTTGATTACCTGATGACACTTGAACTGCCGTTTATTTTTTTCTTTGTTTTGTGATTATTGTTTCTTTCCATTGAGATAGCTAGTACAGTGATAAAATCTAAATTTATAATGTGCGACGATACCTCTTATATCCGTAGTGGTTGTAGGAGTCTTTTTTTTTCTAATTGTGGGCAGTACGAGGTTTTTTGGGTAAATAATGCCACTCAAGAGGTTACGATGAAGGTAAAACGAACTTTCTCTTTGACAACCCGTGGCTCTGTGTGGCTTGCCAGAAGGGGACCCTTGCATGTGGAATGATATCTGCTGGTAGTAGGAAAGGAAAGAGACTCGCGTCAATCATAGTTCTTGCTACATTAGTTGACATTTAACATGAATAAAAGTGTTTAATTGATTTAAAGTTCATGATATGCAACAACCATTGGGTGTGACTGCTAGACATTCAGGATTCAATATATTTCTTGACTTAAATTATATAATGCATCTGTGTTGAAGAGAATGCATTCAGGTGGGGTACTTTTCACCTAACAGCCTTATCTCCTGCACATCGACCCATCGGCTTGTTCTTTCATGGCATCATTGTGTTACCATTTTGCCGAAATCACGCCTTTCCCCTCTATTTTTTTAAGAAATTTTTTATGTGGATTGCTGACGTGAAGGGAAATCAAGTGATCCAAGTTATACAGCCCATATGTTTTAGGTAGAATTACGAAAATTTTCTTAACTTTGTTGGTTCAATATGAACTTGAAATCTTTATTACTCATCTTTGCTACTGGACAGTATCGTGCCCTCATGAAAAACCAAAAAGAAAGAGGATACTTACATTTATATTATGAGTCCTTTCAAAACTCCTGTCGCTTATCAAACATACTGTACTAACTGTATAATTCTCCCAAAATCGGAGTGCCTTCCTTGTCATTAAAATAAATTCTAGCCTATTCCCTTTATCCATCACAAATTGTATGAAACTTTAGAGTTGGTATTTAATTTTTTTAGCCTTAACATTATAGCATGGACGTGCTTAGTGATGAAGATTCCGCTAGCATCGTGATGGAATTATGGAAAACAGAGTCACAAAATGCTGTCACCCCTTCTGTAATGGAACAGCATGAAAGAGAGCGTGACCCAGAGTATGTTGCTGTTATCTTAGATATTTCCTTTTTGAAGGTGGCGGAGTTGATGAATTAGCATAGGGTACATGAAAAATATGACATACAAAGAATCTATTTCCAACTGAATTTGATGTCTCACATCTAATCCATGCTCCCAAAACAAAAAAGACTGCAAATTTAGTCTTCCTGACCCTGCCACCTGCCCTACAATGTGGTAGATCGGAAGTCATAGGGCCACTCCCTTGTAACGAAAAGTGTCTCCAACTCCTGAGGATTTTATGCACCAAGATCAAGTATGGTTCTCTGCCTACCTTCTGGGTAGGAAGCTATTCCAGAAGAGGTGAGAACTACAATTCAGAATTCCTGTCTAAAATGGTTTCTTATTTCTTTCCCACCCAACACTGCAAATATTGGTAGGAATGCCAAAACTTCGATAGGTAAGGGTATGTTGAATTCCATAGGCACAGGAGCTGAAAATGATGTTTGGTTGTCGGTATTGAGCGTTGATTATTCTAGCGAGTAGCCTCAAAATAATGTCTATTTTTTTGCCGTCCACAAACTGATATCTAGAGCTTTCTTGAACGGTTTGTTGAAAGTGTAATCCTGCTTATGTTCAGATTATTTACCACTAGGAAATCACTGCCTTAAAATTTTTCGCACAAATGAGCTAGCCCTATATGGGGGAACGGGACTTTTCATTATATAAGGTGACTCCAACAGACTCCCAACTTTTGGTTCGACATTCTTCACAAATGACTTTTTCTATTTGCAGAAATTTCCATCCTCACAAGGTTTTCGATAATAAGGTCCATTGAAGATGAAAGTAATCCGATTGTCTGTTCGGCATGCTTCTAGTAAATTTCATGATCTAAGGGTTTCCTTGGCATTTGTCTAAGGCTTTCCACCTGTAAATGATTACTTAATGACAGGTTTAGTAATATTTTTTTGGATGACTCCGCTCCACCATAATTTTTTTTCCCCTGGTTTCAGCAGTTATTTGGTCAGTAAAGCTTTGTTTAAGGTCTCCTAGGTCACAAGGACCTGTTCTGCATCGGGTTTTTAAGTGGATAGCACGACATCTGTATTCAATATAGGAGAAGAATATAACAGCTATATTATCAATAAGCTCTCGAAAATGCCTTCTTTACAATGTGCTTGTGGTGTACCGGAGGATGGTATAGACCATGGCGCACTTGCCCATCAGATAATATGTGAGCCCTCTCCGACAATTAAGAACACACAGAGTTGGCTATCCTCTCTATCGAACAGCTTTTGAGCTTTTAATGATCTGGGTATTCTGCTGGCTCCAAACGGCCCAGATTTGTAGGACAAGGGACCTAACATTTTCAACTTCTTCTAACAGTCCTTTGAAAAAAATTTCTTCGATAGGCTTTCTGTTGTTTGGTGAAATGCGATCCTTTCATGTCATTTCCTCCACATTCCTGAACTTGGAATATATAACACTATTTTCCTGTTCACCGTTTGGGCATCATCGAGGTATACTTTTTGATGGTTCTGTTGCAGGCTAAGTCATTTATTTTGGCGGTTTTCTTCTACCTTCTGACTATGATGCTCCATTCTCAGGGTCGAGCTATTTATCATATTTCAAAATCTTTTAAAATTGCTGCCTCAAAATTGGAGAAGATCGGTTATGGTACGTACTTTCTGGCTTTCAGCAATAAACTATCTGTACAAGTAGATTTTCTTTACGCAATTCCCTTCTCACAGGGCGTATCTTTGCTGCTTTTGGTTTCTGAATTGGTTTTATAGATTATTTTCTAAAATGCATGTGGCTGAAGTTACGATGTCTGACGGTAATTAACGAGAAACAACCGTTCTCTGATCCATCTTGACCGAACTCCATCGCTCATACATAGAAAATCCACATTTACCCTCTCAGGAAATCATTTTTGCCATCTCTTAAATTTAATTATCGGTCCTCGGATCTAATCTGATCTTCAGTTAACTCTTATGGTTTTTTATTGGATTCATCTCATATGCTTGTAATATATTCTAGATAGGACGACAAAAAAGATTAAGGTCTGTGACACTTTTAACGGATCCGGTCGGAGGTAGAAGAACCAAAGGAATTATCTTCATTCTCTCACGCATCTGAATTTAGATAAAGCAACGGCCAGTTTGAACCAACATTTATCATTGCTGATAGATGCTTCTCCGAAGCCATGGTCATTTACTCTTTGAAGAAACCTGACTGGTGCCGACGTGAGCAGCTTATTATCCTCCATGTGTCTGCATCTCGAGTTTCTGACGCTATGTGGTCGCAGATGTTGCTGATGATGAATGCGCCGTCGTAGAGCCAAAGGCTGGGAAAGAGACGATTGATCGCAAAGAAGTTATGCGAGTAGACCACATTCTTGCACAGTTGCAGCGCAAGGTAACGTAATTCTGCTCTCCTCTCCGTTCAACGAAAGCAAATGCATCACGAAACTCAGCCCTGGCGTCGGTAGGACGGGTGATTTCATCTATTCCACTTTTTTCGCAGCTCCCCCCAGCTCCGCCCCCGCCTCCATTCCCGCACGGCTACGTCCCCCTTGTAACCTCAGACTTGGAGAAGGTTCCTGAAGACAGACAAGCTGCCGAGCCGCAGCTCTCTGCAGATCCTATAATCGACCAAGGTCCGTCAAAACGGCTCAAATATTAAGCTCTGTAAGACGTCTTTACCCAAGATGGGTCTTTCTCGATGTAGTGGGTAGAGTTCACTACTTAATGAATACACCTGACCATCAATGGAGTCCTCCTAGAGCTCCTCCTATAGCTGTGTTTACTCTGGTGGAGCTGGAGATCCCAAGTCCTTCTCACTATCTGTTTCCTGCACTTGCCGATGTGGATCAGAACCATCCGCCCCGGCAGAGCAGTGTAGAGAGTGAGGAGCTTTGTACAAGCAAAGTCTGCACCGATACCGAGAAGATTTCTTTCATAGTCGCGGGCCTTCAAAAAAGCCAGAAGAACAACCGTGAGAGCCCAGCCAAAATGAGGCCCGGAGGACGGGAAGTGACTGAACCTGCTTAGATCTTTAAAACAGCTCCTTGGATGTCTACACGAGGAAGTCGGCCAAGGTGACGTCAGTGATCAACCCTAGTGGAATCACCAGCTCCCTGCTTCTTGAAAACGAGGAGACTGGTCGGAAGCAAAGCTGAGGAGGAAGCCCTTCAATACCCTCCATAGACCAGCGAGAGAGTTCCCCTGGAACAAAGCAGAGGATCTGTTCTCCGATGGCCTGTGCTCTCACACGGCACCGATACGAGAGTTTCAGGAAGCCAATCATGGAGATGGGGAGCATTCTAAGGAATGGAGTAGCCAAGGCCTCTGTAACCCGTTACCTGCCCAAAATCCACAATCTAGTAACTAACTACGTGGACCCATAGTTGGCTCTTGCAAGGAGACCAACATTGAAATGGGCCCCGTTTGATCATTAACATCGTAAAAACAATGTGGCATGAAAACCAGGAGACCATAAGATTCGTCATAAAAATGAAAACCTGCAGGGTAACTAAGGCCCAACCGTGCAGGCGCTCATTCCTGGGAAGGGTTCCTGTCATCAGGTCGCTCATAGCACCATATGTTCAAGCCCGTAATTTTGAGTGGCTTTAAGGGTGGAGGTTTATAACCATATGAAGTTAATATAGGGATGTTGTTCATCACGACCAAATGCTTTCTTGTCCTGCTGCCACCATTCCCCATCAGAGTTCTCAACAGGTCTCGCAAAAATGACGGCCAGGTCTCTTCAAAGATGCATGTCCAAGTTAGTTGAGATGGAATTCACTGACCTCGTCCCCCATTTTCGCTCTGACTACCATCTCTCTGATCGAGTCATTTGAGGTATGATCCAAAGTTCTTGTTTGGGGATACATTCATTTAGTCCTTCTCTGGTGGCCCAACACTCCAACCCACCCGAGTGCTGGGTACTACCCAGATATGGTATACATGGTACTTCGGGAAATGGTGATTGGAAACATGGGAGGGTAAAAAAAATAAAAAAGAGAAAAATAAACAGATTGGGTAATGTGGAACTAAGTCACGAGCATCATTCAAAGTGGTGATCTATGGATGTGGCGATGCACAAGGTTTACCTTCCATGTCCCAGCAGCGTTGAAGAATTTGGACCAAGGTCAAGTCTTCATAAAATTCTAATCTCGAGTCAAACAGGAAGGAGTTGTATTTTTTGGGGATGGGCTTTAAGGATTGATAGCTAATTTTTTGCAATAAAATGGGGAGGAGCTAATGGGATTTATAAGGAGACGATTCGGCAGAAGTATATGTGATCATTTACGACAGACGCCATAACTACAAGCCACTGTTTATCGACGTTGCCAGTGTGATGCCTCTGCTTCCTAGGAACCCAAGGCTGAAGAACTAAAACTACTATGTCGAAAACTATCCATATAGTTATAATGCGGATAACTCTGTCAGAAATCATGTCTACAGAAAAATTCTGCCATGCTTTCATAGGTAGCTTCAAAAGCGAAGTCCGAGCACAGTGAAAATGATCAAGGTCTTCCAACCATCAGTCAATTGAGAAGAAGAAGGATCCGAGACAAAGGATCCAGAACAGTTCGACGAATTCTCCGAACTCTATCAACTACTGTTCAGGTTTCACCCTTTTGAATTATCCTCGGACCAAAACAGTTTTCAAATCCGTATCTCTTCCAAGAAAGTGTAACTTTCTCATGTCAACCTTGTGGATATCAGGCATAACTTGCAATAAGAAAGAAAGACGAGAGGATGCAATAAAAACTTTTGTCGGCCTATTCCGTTCAATTTCTGGTATCCGTCACGGGAACCGCTGATTCAGAGCCTACCATCTTCTATAAACCTTCCCTCCCTTGTTCCCATTTGTTTCGAATCTTTCCCTATGATGTAACTCTAATCGATCGCAGGCTTTTCCGGTGTTTCGCGGCAGGCAAGAAATAGACAAAACTCGCAGCTTGGTAAGAAATGCGGTCAACGCTTGTGATTGGACGTTTTATATGATGCCCGTACATCCAGGATTGAGATTGGCGAAGACTTTAGTGTTGTTTCATTGTCATTGTCATGGTCTCCTTGCCGCAGAGTTCAACTTGTCCTTAGTATAGACAGCTGAACAGTTAGGCTGTGGGGAAACTATTCATAGAAACTTTAATTGAAATCAACAGTCCCTTACATCACGAGCTTCTTGTACAGTGCTACTGGCTAGCTGAAAACAACACCAACATATTAATAACATATCTATCGAAAAATATCCTTCAAATTCTTCTTACATTCCTGTAGGAATCTCGGAGAAGAGGTGCCAATCATAATCGGTATCCATTCGTCTATAAATACTGGCAGAGTATGCGTCCCTCCAACGTAGAGGAGAGACCACCACGGATATCCCGTCTGAGAGGAGGAAGGAAGGTGTTTGAGGCGGCAGAAGCGAAGACATGGTGGCATACCAAGTTCCAGTTGTATTCGCGTGCCTCTCAGCGCTGGCGATGGTGGGCGTTGTCAGCGGCCAGACCACTTCCATGCAGTACCTCGCGGCCCATAACTTACCCCGCTCAACTGTCAAGGTTGCTCAGATGGTCTGGAGCGCATCCCTTGCTGCCATCGCGGAGAACTATGCCAACCAGTTGACGGTAACTGCACCCTCGTGCCTTCCATGGGGCCGTACGGGGAGAAACTCTTCTTGGGGAGGAGCACCTCGGTCACGGGCACTGTGGCCGTTCAAGCGTGGGTTGGCGAGAAGCAGTACTACAATTACGTCTCCAATACCTGCGCGACGGGGAAGGTTTGCTCACACTACACGCAGGTGGTCTGGAATGTCTCGATAAACCTCGGCTGTGCGCGTGTTACGTGCAACAGCGGTTCCGTCATCGTCATCTGTAACTACGATCCTCCAGGTAACTTCCCCGGCGTGAGGCCCTACTAGGTTGGGGGCTCTAGCCTGATGTAAATCTCCGTGTATTGGTTCTCCATGGTGGCCAATTTCAATAACGAGGAGACCATGTTCCGTGGAGATGGAACTTTAAGGAACTCCGGTAATTTCATTACTACATAATGGTAATAGTTAATTAATATCCTTCCATGACTTATAGTTAGTCCTTCGTGTCTCCAGTGCATGTTCCGTGACTTGGATGTAGTTACGAACGCGTAGACAAGCCTCGCTCATGATCACCTTCAGTCGAATGAAGCTAGGATACATTCCCCTCATTCATCGCTTCCGTGCAGCCTGTTTCGACACTCTGCTAAATGACAGAGCATGTAAACTATTTATTTCCATATGATAGATCCTGCCCTCCCGGACGATTTGCGGTATTAAGAGTAATCCCAGATCCAATCTGATGCTCAGTACCTCATGATAGTTTTAAGCTCGTGCGAAGCTTTATCCAACACTTGCGGGAAAGAAAAGCATCCAACCTACTTGTCACAGTTCTTCATCCACAACGCATTACGCTTTTCATTCATCATCAACAAGTTAACGCAGCCTACTCTTACTCTCCACGGGTTGTAAATAAGCCAAGAAGAAAGGAATATCCCAAGGTCCAAAGGTTCACTAATGTGTCCGTATGTAAAGGTCATTTCGATTGATTGACGAATGTGTTGGGGGCAACGTGTTAGAACTTTTTGAATGCAATTGACTGGTTGAATACATAGCCTTCTCATCTCGAGGATGCCCAACACCCAATCGCATTATTGTTTAGGAATGAGAAAAAATCGATGAAATTTCTCCAGAAACTTGAACGTTTAGATAAGAAGAATGGAATGCATATTTCGTCCAAAAAAACGAGACTAAATTTGGCGACGCGGAATAGCTGGGGTTCGTTTTTGTGGACAACATAAGTCAATTCATAAACAATCACGTGAACTCGTCTTAATATACCTCCACCTCATATGAAACAAACAGCTCATGCATAACGGAACACGATATACAATCATCGTGACGGACACCACCGTTTTCCAGTAACATGCATTTGAAAGTCTATGGTGTGTTATTTGACCTCCTGTACCGACAAGATCGGAGAGGTTTTTTCTCTTATGAGGCAGCGCCGCAAACTCCTGCCATCAGCGGACGCGTCGTCTCAAGAACTACGACTCTTCCGAACTCCTTCCGAAAGAAGAAAAGGAGAGAATGCGTCGTCAACAGTAGAGTGATTACTTGTCACTGGATTCCGTCAACTACGTCTCAATTATATTAGGTTAATTTTTAAATACTACCATGTGAAAACGATAAATGTTTGGTTTCGACGTGAAATCGACGCCACAACTATCCCAACACGTGGCATGGTTAGGTTATATTTTATAATCAATGAAGCATTCCGAAGCCACACTGTCAGTTTAGATGGGTTACGCCTCCTGATACTGGGTCATATAGAGGCAGCACTCGAACACCGGCGACAAGTCATGCGGCAGTGGAAGATGTACCTCGAAATTTCGCTGCCTCTATGAACCCTCTTCTCGACTCAATTGGGGAACCTCCCCAATTACATGCAGAGGATAAGAAGTTTGGACTAATAGCATTAGTTTTCGTTGGAATGAGCTCATACGCAGGGCGGATAACATGTGACTTGTGCTAGGTTTGTTTCAAAGTCTTAATTCTCATAAACCATGCATGATGACCACGTTTTAGGTAAAATGAGCAACGAATAATTTTTAATAACCTTAAGTGTTTGCACTGTGATCACCATGTTGTTTTATGTGACGTGTTAAGATTGACGTCTGCTTTCTATTGGCTGATAAGGTCCATACTCCACTTTGTAGGTGTAACATTTTACATTTTAGATCGATAGAATAAGATTCAGCCATTATTGGATCAATTGCCTAAAATGGGTTGCCAAAAGAGTGCGTTGTGGTCAAGAGGCATTCAGATCCGCGTCCCTGACTATTGATCTACTTTATCAAGCATTTTGGACTCATTGGGTCCGATATCAATTAATGGACCACAATTATTATCTAGGGAAGCTAAAGGTTACCCATTTTTTTGAGTTATGTGATGACTTTTGTCACAGACTTAGAATGTAGTCGTGTGTCTTCTTAGTAACAGGAGAAAGTTCGTAGCCTCTTACTATTCGGTCACGTAATAAGCATCCTTTTACATTTAACAGTTGTGTGACTCTTGGGGGGCATATTTTAATAGTATGAAGTTTTAAAAGATAATGAGCAAGACAGTGTAAAGGTGACATATTCTAAAGGGCATCTATTTATTGGTCTTAAAAACGTTTATGAGAGAAGCCAAGAGGAGGGGGCTGAATTGATCTTTTTCTTATTCCCGTTAAATTTTTAGCCTCTTAAATTTGTTTGAACCAAGAATTTCTTTGAACATACTCAGCCTACTCAACATCTCGAAAGACTATGCCCTTGAGTTTTACTAACTCATGGCGTTACATCAGTTGAACACGAAGGCTTTGACTAGCGTCCACTAGTCTCCAGTCAATCTAGGAGTCATCTAAGCTTTTCCTATAGATTCCTAGCTCAAGAGGGGCAAACCAAATTAACTCCCAACTAATTTCGTCTTAATTGATGGCTCTAGAATGACACAATTACTTTTGGCTTAAATACGTAGGTCTCGTCAGAAAGAGTCCTTAGATGAGGTGTTGCTTGAATGCTTGAGAAATTTCCTAAAATGTTGATTTTGAAGAGTATGATTCTTGCTTGGACCGTTGAAGGGGTTTAACCTTTTAGAGGATTTTTTTTTTTTCTTTAGGTTTGGGCTGTAACGGTCAAAGAATGATCCCACATGGCTGCTCAATGGGCTCACTGCTACCAAAAACACTTTCTATTTTGTATATTTTTTCCTCTTTTGGTCCACAGCGATATCCTTACAAGTAAACTCGATTCATTTCAAGAAACTGGAAAATGACAATGTGTCAAATAACGTCCGAAACCTTAGACATTTATGAAGGTTAGAATAATACATTGACAATACAATTACACGTCAAATAAATTTTTTATTTTACCTCCATATGAATTCTACTAACATTGTGTTGAGGAGGCCTATCCTGCCAAGTGAGTCGCCTCTGTTTGACAAATAACTCTGATACTGAATCTTCTTTCTGAATGTTGAGTCTTCTTTCCACTAGACCAGTCAATTTACTTCTTTGATAATTAAATGAAACCAGAGGAAGAAGATCGACTGTGGCCACCTGACCATCGAGTAGAAAGAAACAAGGATGACCCCTGATGCCAATAGGGCCCTACAACTCCTCCTACAGCTGTGTCTGCTCTGGTGTAGCAGGAAATTCTAAGTCCTTGTCACTATCTTTTTCCTGCACTTGCCACGCCAGCCACAGCACCTGCATGAGTCCACCATTGCCGATGTAGGTCAGAACCATCCGCCCCGGCAGAGCAGTGTACAGATTAAGGAGCTTTATACAAGCGAAGACTGTGCCGACACCAAGAAGCTTTCTTCCATAGCCATGGGCCTTCAAAAAAGCCAGAAGAACAAGCGTGAGAGCCCAGCCAAAATGAGACCCGGTGGATGCAAGTGACTAAACCTGCTTAGGACTTTGGAACAGCTCCTTGGATGTCTCCACGAGGAAGTCGGCCACGGTGACGCCAATGATCAACCCCAGAGGAATCACCAGCTCCCTGCTTCTTGAAAACGAGGAGACGAGGTCGGAAGCAAAGCTGAGGAAGACGGCCGCAAGGAGGAACCCCTTCAATGCCTTCCTGCCGAGGTGAAGCAGGCGATGGGAGATGCGAACCTCTGCTTGCTTCCAGGGGAACTCTCTTACATGTTCAGGGAGGGGCTTCGACAGAGTCTCTGATACGATATGCAGAAGGGCCGAGAGCTTGCTCTGCCGACCAAAATGATCCCCAACCTGTGCCCTCACACGGCATCTAAGTGAGAGCTTCTGAATGCGCAAAGATGGAGATGGGGAGCATTTGCGAGGTCTGGAGTAGCCAAGGCTTTTGTAACTCGTTACCTGCCCAAAACCCACGATCAAATAAAGACGTGGATGCATACTTGGCTCTGGCAAGGAGACCAAGATCGAAGTGGGCACCATTAGATCATGAACATTCCAAAAAGAATTGGCTTGAGAACCAGGAGAACACAAGATTCCTGATAAAAATAAAAACTTGCAGGATAACTACAGCGCAAGCTTGTAGTCGCTCATACCTATGGCGTTTTGTGTCATCAGGCTAGTCATAGCACCAAGTGGCCAAGACCATAAATTTGAGTGGCTTCAAAATGGACGTGGTAACCATGTGAAGGAAATATATGACGAGGTGGCGATAGTGTTCATCATACCAAATGCTTGACTGTTTGTCACCATCCCCATCAGTCTTCTCAATAGGTCTCGCAAAAATGACGGCCGTGTCTCTTGAAGGATGGGTGCTCAATTCAGTCGAGATGAAATTCACAGACCTTACTCCTCATTTTCGCTCTGAATGCCATCTCTCTGAATGAGCCATTTGAGGTACGATCCAAAATTCTTGTTTGGCGAAACATTCACTTCGTCCTTTTTCTATGGTGGCCCAACACTCCAGTCCACCCGATTAATTTGATCCACCTGAGTGCCGGTTAATATGCAGTGGTAATATACATGGTATTTGTGGAAAGGATGATCGGAAGCAATGGTAGAACTACACAAAAAAAAAAAACGCAGAACGGGTAATGTAGAAGGCAGTCACGAGCAACATTACAGTGGCGATTTATGGGTGTGATTATGGACATGGTTTACCTTCCATGTCCCAGCAGCGTGAAGAATTTGGACCAAGGTCAAGTCTTCATAAAATTCTAATCTCGAGTCAAACAGGAAGGAGTTGTATTTTTGGAGATGGGCATTAAGGATTGATAGCTAATTTTTTGCAACAAAGTGGGGGATGAACTAATGGGATTTATAAAGAGCGATTTGGCAGAAGTACACGTGATCATTTACGATTGATGCCATAACTAAAAGCCACTCGTTATCGACATTGCCAATGTGATGCCTCTGTTTCCTAGGAACCCAAGACAGAAGAACCATAAATACGGCGTCGAAAACTATCCAAATAGTTATAATGCGGATAATTCTGTCAGAAAATCATGTCTACTGAAAATTTCTAAAATTTCTAACTTGTTCTCAAAAAGGATGTCTGAGCACACTGAAAATGATCAAGGACTTCCAATCATCAGACAGCGGAGAAGATGAGGGATCCGAGACAAATAATCCAAAACAGTTCCACAAATTCAGGCTTCACCTCTTGAATTATTCTCGGACCGAAACACTCTAGAAATTCGTATCTCTCCCCAGAAAATTTAACTTTCTCAACTCAAACTTTTGAATAACAGACATAACTTGCAATAAAAAAATAAAGACGAGAGGACGCAATAGAAACTTTCGTCGGCCTGTCCTTCACCGGAACCGCTGCTTTAGAGCCTATCATCCTCGCTAATCTCATCTCCTGTATTCCCATTCCTAGTGAATCTTTCCATCATAAGGTAACTCTAAACGATAGCGGCGACATCTATTGACGGAAGAGGCAGGAGCGGCATAAATAATTTGGGAACTGTTTATTGGTGAATGAACTTCCGATTTTAACTATGAAATTTCAGCTCAATACGCGTCTTCACAATGATGTAAACGGGAAACGAAGGAAAAGCTTCAAGAAAGTGAAAATATTACGCGACAGAATCCGAGGATAGCAGCGAGCAAAGAGCACCCGAGAAGCTGAAGATAAGAAAGAGACGAACAGAGGACCTGCATGCACGTACCCTGAATCCCAAATAGGGAGGAAGATTGCGAGGAGCCGCAAGGGCCACCTCCATTCGGCCTTCTCCGATCAAACTCTCCCGGTTCCCCTCCAAGTTCGGCGCAGCCCAAACCCTCCTCGCTCCGGCGCGCGGACTCCAAACCCGAACCGCTCCAGGTTTATCTGCCGGTAGCCCGTCCCGTGGGCCCCTGCAGTTCTTCCTGCCGATGGCTTCCGTAGATCCCGTGTCCCCCTTACTGCAAGCCCTCTCTAGATGCGATCTAATCCGACGGCCGCAAAAGCGATTCCCATCGGACAGTCATCATCAGAAGATACCTCCCAGGCGTGTTCCCTGTCAGGTTTTCACCATGCTAATGGACCTACAGCCCAGTCTTGAAGCGCTTCAGATACTATTCGCCTCCATGGTCATCACCCACGAAAAGTGGTCTAGTAGTGCACTCCTTTCTGGGTTAATTTCCCGGAATTTCAGCAAGAATCGGCAATCAAAATCAGAGATATTTAATTTCCAAAAATATCTATTTTCATCAGTTTTTGACTTCGTAAATGGGTAAGGCTAATTTTCTTCATACTTGGTCTCTACGATACCCTTGGAGCAGTGCAGATCCCAATGCATGAAGGGGCGCAGAGAGGCCTTCAAAAAAAACTTACACGACTCCCATTGAAGCCCGGATAATGAACTCTACATAGGAGGCAACCTAGGCCAAACTGTTACGTGTCCGGCAGGGTGCGGCTGGGATTTGCAGGGGGGGCGGGAGAGAGTGAGAGAGTAGAGAGGGCTTGGACCTTTTGAGGAGGAGAGATTATCGGGTTCTGCTATGGAATGATGCAGCAGGGGCGACCAGGCAGTCAAGGAGGAGATTTTGGGGCTTCTTACATCGGATTCCTTGAAGTCGAGTTTTGTCATGAACAATCACGAAGTCAAGTAATCCGGGGATTACTTGACTTAGTGACACATGTAAGACACGTTTAAGATTATTATTTTCTTTTTCTATTTTTTATTTTTGATGAAAATGGAAAATAAACGTAACCAAAAATAATTTATGGTTTTTTCTTGTTTATTTTTTTTTTAGTCATTTATTCCACGATTATAGTCATCTGTTGATTTATTTAAGCATATTCTGATGGAGCGTAGGATTAAAAAAATGGGGGAGTTCTGATCTCTTTCCGAGAGCGACGATCGGTATGAGATGCAAGGATCAGTATCTCTTTCCGAAAACGCCAGCCATGAGAGCTTGGGAGAGCCACTAAAGAGTGAGAGTGCAACCTTCCTAGGTGGTTTTAATTTTTTACTCCCACTCTTTGCTGGCTGCCTTCTCACCTTTCCTTTCCTGCGCATGACCCGCAGCCTGTCCCCCCTTCTCTCTTCCGTTATGCGGAGCACTGTATTCCCCGAAAGTGGCATCGTTCCCCTATCCCAATCTCGGGTGAGCTCTTTAATGGCAGCTATGCTGTCTCGACGAGATGGACTCATCCACAATCAGCTCTTTAATGACAACTTGACAGTCTGTAAAACTAATCTGAAGAGTCGACGCAGGGATGACGACACCCGCCCTACTTTAATCCTTCCTTTTGGCAACCCAAGGAAAGCCGCCTCCGGCGGCTTACATTTGGAAGATGGAATCCCATATCAGTTCATCTTGTTGTCACCACCATCTCAGATGCCGATGCCCCTACGGCTAAACCAAGCTATATTTGATTACACGATTCTCGTATTATATAAGAGACAAGTTGCCAGGAGAGGAAGGAACCGACAAAGCTAAAGCAGTTTCTCCGCGCTAGTGAATGACGCTATTGGAGCATAAGAATAATGGGTCATCTCCTAGGGTTCCTCGGGCAAGTCTGGATTAACTAATGAGAGGCTCTTCCCTGTGCAATGCAGCTGCTGGGACAGAAAAGCGAGACGGGAGATGACCTGCGAGTGTGGTTGCTTGTCCATTGGTGCTTGTCATGGCTAGGGATGGCCCTCGAAATCAAAGCCACATGGTATCACGACTACAGGGATGTGCCTGTTGGTAATGCATGCAGTTTCTCTGCGCTACTGAATGACGCTATTGCAGCATGAGAGTAACGGGTCGTCTCCTAGGGTTCCTTGGGTAAGTCCGTGAATTAACTATTGGAAGGCTCTTCCCTGTGCAATGAAGCTGCTGGGGCATGTAAAAACGAGACGGGGGATGGCCTGTGAGGGTGGTTGCTTGTCCATTGGTGCTTGTCATGGCTAGGGATGGCCCTCGAAATCAAAGCCACATGGTATCACGACCACAGGGACGTGCCAGTTGGTAATGCATACAGTTTCTCTGCACTATTGAATGACGCTATTACAGCATGAGAATAACGGGTCGTCTTCTAGGGTTCCTTGGGAAAGTCTGTGAATTAACTAATGGGAGGCTCTTCCCAGTGCAATGCAGCTGCTGGGGCATATAAAAGCGAGACGGGGGATGGCCTGTGAGTGTGGTTGCTTGTCCATTGGTGCTTGTCATGGTTAGGGATGGCCCTCGAAATCAAAACCACATGGTTTCACGACTACAGGGGTGTGCCTGTTGTCAATGCATGCTTTAAACCTTTGACGTTTTGCATGGGGCTGTTTCTTTCATAACCTTAGTTGTAAGGATATTCGAAGTTAGCTTTAATAGACATGTACAATCGAACTGATAAGATCCAGAAGAAGACCGTTCATCGTACGCTATCAGCCGGGGACAGTAGGTGAGCAATATTTCTACTCTCGCTTATCCAAAGTGTACGCCCCTGTGTTCTATGTGCATTGCACCAAACGGCAGGTTTATTGTTTCAATTCTTCAACATGTATAAGGTGATATATTATTGGAGGGGTCATGTAGATCAAGCACGTACATCGTGACATACGTTGCGGAAATGGGCTTGATTTCGCATGAACAAAGAAAAATGAACTTGGGATGGATCTGCCAGAATGACTACATGATTATATGAGTAAAAAATTAATAATCAATCTATATGTTCGTCACCAAATAAAGTTTGGAACAAAGTCAACTTTCGATTTGTATATTATAAACAGCTCAGAGACCCAGATTATCGACCATACGGTCAACAGTGGAGCTTAGGAAGACTGTGTTGCATCGAATATTGAACATAATGTTATGCCATAGCTGCCCAGTGTTAATGTTAAGATTGATGCAAGCTTTGACGAAGTTTTGACGACCTGACACCCGTAAAGCAGGATTACAGGATTACAGGATTACAGGATTCAGCCACAGTTTATGGTGAGATTTATTAAAGGTTGAAGGTTCTGCGGGAGTCTGGGTATTTGTTTATTTTCCAGGAATAGCTTTTCCATAAAGGAAACGGTACATGGAGAAAATGACATTTATCTTATATGTTGCGATCGAAAATCTAGAAATAATTTAAAGAAAAAATCGTATGCTGTATAGACTAGCAGATCCTTGTTAAACAACTCATGAATCACGCATAACGGTGAACTAGTCCGCACATATACCATGGGGTCGTGGGAGGCTAGAGAGGTTCATTGTACCCATTAATCATGTGATTCCATTCTTAGTTCCTACGTATAAGTTCAAAGGCAAGGCGATAAAAGTACCCTTAAATGCCTTGGGTGACGAGGCTATTAGTCAAAAAGTCTGGCATGCCACATTCGTGTCTCGGTAAAATCGAGTGGACTTCTTTATATTGATGGCAAGAATCTTGCAAGAGTGAGACGATTTCTTCTCCACCTTGATGTAAGATATCCCACCGAAGGAGGATGTAACTATCAGATCTATAAGAGCCATGGAGACGATTAAGCTGTCCGGAGCGGAAGACCAAGAAGCTAAGTTTCAGCATGTTAAAAATTACAGAAGCGCCGTGTAGAAAGCAAGTGAAATAAGAATAATACGGAAGCTATTCGGTGATCGTCTCTTACACCTAGCCGCAAATTATCATTCATCATTTGCTCAAAAGCCTCTCATTATTGGCCTCGAAATCAGCACAAACTTAGTAGGCGGAATAAATGGACCGCATAAAGGAATCACGATCGCTGCAAGCAAGCAGGGCAACTAAACGGCCTCACCGCTTAAATAATTTTCGCTTCCAAGTCGCCATGCAACACCGGAGGTGTTGGAGAATTCTCAATAGAACATAATGGGGATAATCTTTCTTTTTGTAGTTTGTTAGAGGTATCACTGATTACAATGCGATCGTTGAATCCCAGGCCAAATGAAGATATGGAGATCCCGATGAAGTAAAAAATTATAATACCGTTACTGTTAAGGACGAGAAAAAGGGCGGCCAAGTCACCGGAACACCACTCTCTGCGGTAACGTTTTAACCAGGGGTCAGGCCTGCTTTTCTTCCAAAGAAGCATGGGATTGAAAGGCTGCTCATCGTATGGTACAAAATCGTCGCTCCTTTGCTCGTGTAAATGAGCAGACAGTGATTGGAGTGATCTTGCCTCATATGTTGAACACAGTTAAACTTCGTCCAATCGGCAAATGGAAAACAACACAGGGAAGCGAAAATAATTGCCGGTGATATCTGTCAATGACTAATCCATCAAATGGAAACGAGATTGGAAATTGGTGTAAAAAGAGCAAACAAATAGAAACCGGAAACCCAAGAATAAACCAAACAACTCAAGTGACAACACTCAGAAACTCATTATCCTATTGTCAAGTATGTATGGGGAAACATGAGAATCGTTAAAGGTTGATATGAAACCACAAACAAAACAAACACATCAAGAGTTGAGATTATTAGGGTTGCTACCAGAACTCCAACGCCAGTTCTAACTCCGCTGGTGCCAGAAATTTACAGAGCCATGAATCCACCGTCAATAAGTCCCAAATTGCACCTGCTCATCAGTAAAGCATTGCTGTGTTGGGTGAATCTTTTGACAATTTGAGACGAGAGCTGTGTATACCAGAGGGTCCATCTGGTCCCAACTTGAGCTCTCGGACGAGCTGATCCCGCTGCCCTCACTGGACACACAGCCCACTCCGCAAAGACTATCCATCCCTTCTATTTTCATCAGACTGGAGCAGAGCATCTCGTCGAGCTCAGGGTTAAAGCAACAATCACTGGTACCTTGCAAGACCATTCTTTCCAATGAAGAAGAGTTATCGGTGAACGAATAAGCCAAGGCTGAAGGGTCTATCAGATCCTGTAGATTGTCGTAGACGTGCGGTGTAGAATAAGGAACGCCGAATGGGTTCTGAATGGTCACGGCGTCTTCGTTGGCGAACCTGCCACTGAGTTTGATGACGAACTTCCTCACAGAAGAACGATCGTCGGGCACTCGATGATCGTGGTTAGAGTAGAAGTGCGCCGGCAGCTCAGGCCAATAGGGTGCCTGACAGGTGCCGTTGTTGGTGGGGCCGGTGAAGTTTTCGTTCTGGATTATTCTGGCTTCTTGCTTCAAACCTCCGGGAGCTCTGTGACCGTTTTGATGATCCTTACGCGGCTTTCCCAGGAGCTTCTTCTTCAGCCTTGTGTTCCAGTAATTCTTGATATCATTATCAGTCCTTCCGGGCAGCTGTGCAGCTATAATAGACCACCTGCTCGTGAAACCATGATCGGAGTTCGGAAGGAGTAGATTATTCCCCTTAATGTCTAAAAATATAAAATTGGGACAGCAGGACGACATCATTCGAATACCGTTGATTTTCGCTTAATTACCTGCTCCCAATGCTCATGTATAGGCTACATATGATGTTATCCTCTTCTTCGGAGAACCCGCCATGCTTGATGTTTGGACGGAGATAGTTGAGCCATCGGAGGCGACAGCTCTTCCCACATCTCTTGAGGCCTTATTAGTGCAAAACATGGATTAATTAAGATTCGTTGTTTTAGATGACATAACGGTTAAGGGATACAAATTGAGATGCATATTTACACAGGAGGAGAGAAGAGGTACCGATCTTCTGCGGTAGAGTGATCCAGTTGCCTCCGGTGCCATGCTGCTCGATGTAGGTCTTGAGCTTGGCATCCTCTTCTGAAGACCATGGGCCTTTCTTCACGTTGGCCTTGTCGCAGCACGGTGCTCTTCCCATGATGAAGCTATCTCTTGTTCCTACGATGTGTCGGTATCCTCCTCTCTTCTCCTTGTGCTTCTTCCTCTCCCCTTCAGTCGCAATCGTAAATTTAAAGGGCACGGGGGCAAACTTCTACAGCAGAAAGAGGGGTAGGAGGGCGATTAAATAACATGGGCTAGAGGCCAGCTACCATTGTTTTGTCCCTCTTCCTTTTGTCTTTCTTAGACTCGAATCTATGGATCATTGGGTCATCGGGACTGGTCTACACGAATCCTCGACTTGAGCCTCCACGCACAAGAATGCCATACAAATCCACAACCCGAAAACAGAAAATACGGGAAAAACTCGAACTGGATTCGCGCTTAACTCTAAATCTGTCTTCAATGCAGATTGTATAGTAGAATATTACAAGAAGAGGGAGGGAGGGAGAGAGAGAGAGAGAGAGAGATCTCGCAAAAGGGGAGGTCTTGATTTGTTTCATTCATGAGGATACGATCCATTGACGGAGTACACATCGGACGCAGAAGTCAAACAGGACTTATTTATTCAAGGAGGGTGTTCAAACCTAAAGCTTACGCATTCTACTTGATATTATGTCCGTTATATTGACTAGGGTTATCGTTACCATCATGAATTTTGTTCCATAAATAAACAGTCATGTATTTAAAATTTAAGGTCTGGCGAATGGCCAACGGGTTCAAATGGTCCGTGTCACGGGGTGGTTTGAGCTAGGCCTACAGAGTGATATATTCCAATGATAACTTCTTAATCAATTGGGCATTTTTCTGGGCTTCGGTGAGGGACTCCTGCATCCGTTGGGATGAAAAAGGTTATCGTTATCACTGATCCATCTTCCAGAATTCTATGGTACTACAATATTCTTTCTCAGTAATTGCCAAACCTCTGTGCCTAATATAATCATATTTCAGCTGGTTAACTTGTGCAAGTAGAGATATGTTTACAAAAAAGTGGTCTTTTATTTATTTAAAAGAGGATAAAGAAAACCAGCAAGGAAGCAGTCATCGAAGAACATGGCCTCTCATTCCCTCTCTTCGTTAGTCCTCTCCTAGACCTTGTTTCACACAGTCTGTCATCTCCTCTCTCTGTCTCTCTCTCTCATTATACATTGCCATAGGCAAACAATGTGACAATTTAAATCGAAGAATAGCCCGGTTTCTTACATGAGGCTAGAAGTGTCGATATTCTGGGGTATAGGAACTCTCGTTTCTAGAGGAGATGCAGTTGTCGCAATTTCTGGTGTTGGGGAGTTTCAGGCTGAGCCTTCACAAAAACTGGGCCCCACATCTAGGAACCTGAGGTGTTGGGACTGGATGAAACCAGTGGACAGAATCAGGGGAGAAGTTTGGAGAAAAGGCGAGGGAATATTGTAGGAAGGGGAAGACTGGGCTGCGGAAGATAGAGAGTATTAGTAGAGAGCACTCCCACACGCATCTATCAGAAGACCAGTACACGACCGGCCGGGCCTTCACAGGACAATCCCATTCGGCTCGATCTTCCGGCACTTTTCCGACCGTTTCTCTTCGAATGTGAGAGAGGGATTGATGCGTCCATTTCATATGAACGCACGGGTCATCTCAACGTGAACAGGAACGCGATATGTGCTGTTGAAAACCGTCTTCATTCATTCCGCTCCAGCATGCAAGCCCTCTCGTAGTGCTTCTTCATGCTTTTTCACTCTCTCTCTCTCACTCTCGATGTGAGTTTTTTTATCATTATTAGAGTATTTACGCTGTTGTTCTTGATTCCCTGGTTCGGCATTTATCGCGCAAATTCGATCTCGACTATGAACGGAAAGATTGATTCGATATTGATCTCTTTCATCCGTTGGGAGATGATTTATTGAGCTTATTGTTCCCAGAGCGCAGACCATTATTTAGATGGCTTATTATTCAATCCCATACTTGTTTTATAATCTCATCTTTATTTTTCGATTTGAATCTTGTGAAATTATCCTCTGTAGTGCCTGATGGTCTAACAACAAGTGCTCCGGAGGACGCAGAAAGACTTCTCACTTGGGGAGTTAGATTTGGATTGGGTGACACAGAATTTCTAGTGTTTCTGCCGAATCTGTGGCCATCGCTTCGGTAATGAGCACTGAAAATTTTATTTGGGTCATTTTAGTTGTCAAAATATTAAGTACAGTTTGGGCTGGGATTTATACGTACGTGGCCGGCAAGGTTCCATCATAAGCGAACGAAACTTTCAGAAAAATATGAGTTTTTGCCTGATAGATCATGTCTAAGACTCTTCTCTCTCTAACTCTCACTCTCTCTATCTCTCCAATACCAAAAAGCTAGGAGTTTCTTTTCAGAACGTCCCATTGCTGCTCCTTGGAAAATGGTTCTCTTTCTGCGGTCAGATAAAAAAATATCCTTGTAGAGCCTACAAAAAAATAAGTTCATGGAACGTACGAAGGCACTAACAAGGTCTTTTTGGGTCTACTAGTCAGATAAGATTGAATTTGTTTAACAAGCAGACTCTAAATCGGAATAAGTCCATACAAACATCCTTGTAGAGTCCACAAAAAAATAGCCTCATTTTATTGAAGGTTACTTTCGAGAATTGCTGGATATAATTTCAGTACACTAAAAACACTACAAAGGCATCATTTTATTTACTGGAATTAATTAATAATTATCTACTATAAATTTAGTTTATTCAGAGATTGTCCTCAGATTATAAGTTCCCTTTCGTCTCTCTACACAAAAATGATAAATGAAATAATCACATGAGGCTCCCCTTGCTCTCTCTCTCTCTCTCTCTCCATTTATATATTATTAAGGTTGACTTAGTCAACCCATCGGGAGAAGTCTGCCCCCCTTCTCCCTGATGTTATTTGAAACCAGTCCTGCCCCCTTTGTATAGAATAAATTAAAAAGGAGGTTCAGGATGAGAGAAAAAGAGAGAAAAATCAGTACGGAAACATTTTTTCTCTTGCGGAAAAAATCAGGGACCTGGTGTCTCCCCTATTTGGTGGCTTTGGTTGTGAGTTTATTCTTCTTCATGTTATATTTTGTTTCTGCATTAGAAGTGGACATTCTCATTCCTATTTTTGTGGCCATGAGAAGGTGTATTAAACTCTCCATACCACATTGAATCTGGGGTATCACTTTTTCTCCCTTCTCTCTTTCTTATCGACCATCTATTGGTTAGTGGATAGTACATCTTATGCTTGTCCTTTCACTACAATACCAGATCAACATAATGAAGCCATTTTCTCAACATGGTTCTTGGCAATCTATTGCCATACCAAACATTCTCGTTAACCTTCACCCAAAAATATCTACATTGCTTGAGAATTTGACACGTCACATCAACAATTATAACATGTAGCTGTATATAAAAATGACAGTGAGCCTACATTGTGATACTAGCTATAACTAGTGATATAGATTTTCTAATCGTAAAAGCCTTTCTAGAAGAACGATATCATATATGGTGCTAATAAATAACCATTGATAGAACACGAGATTACTTACTACCGATTTTCTTTGAGTTGGGTAATTCACAAATTTTAGCATAGTGTAAAATTGGATGGATAGTTTTTGTTCAATTACCCCTTTTACGTAATTTCTCCTAACGAGAGTAAATTTAAAATTGATGTTAATTCATATAAAATAACTATATGGTTATAAATATTTTAACTTATTTGAAGCTTGTTTGCTTCATAAGGTTAGTAATGGCTTTTGAACATTAATTTCTTTAATCAACCTATTATGAAGTTCATTCTTATAATGATTCACCAACTTTGAGAAATATTTACCATGAAAAACTAAACTACTTTAGACCAACAGCCTAGATACTCACATTAGATCTATGGAATCTAGGACAAACGACTAGGGTAGGATTGAGTATTCTTGCAAGATTTGAAAGGAATTTGATCAATGCGATCATAGAATTACCAAGGATTAATATTGGCCTCTTTATACTCTCACCACCAGCTATAGATGAAAGTGGCCTATCTTGGATCACTCAACAACAATATTGCAAGATAATATACTGAGAAAACATAGAGCTCAAATACGAAAATAATTAGAATTTAGAGTTAATTCTATTGGTAGAATAGGCGACTGACTAGTGGACGAATACGAGTTGAAGCTGGGCCCCACTTGTTGATAACTGACCCAATGTTGACAGCTAATTGAGTAACTGACCATTGATTGAGAAGTTGACAATTGATAGTGTCATTGACTGTTGACTGTGCTGACCTGGTTGTTGGGTGGATAGGCTAGACCAGGCGAGGCGGATTGGCATGAACCAGGTGACGCAGAATGGTTCGGACCAATGTGATTGGGTGCGAATCAAGTGGTCTAAGATGGTTCGGACCGAAGCAGTGGCTTGGCTGGGACTAGGTGGTCGAGCCGGTTTGGGCCGGGCGGAAGTGGGCTGTTCAAATTTGTCGGTGTCCGGAATCGGAACCGATAGGGGTTTAACCCAAGTCGGTGGGACGAAAATTGGAGCACCCGAAACGGGCGGCGCGAGAAGCGGCGAAAGGGGCGGATGGGCGAAACGGGAGGGTAGGGGGGCGGTGGAAGGTATGGCAGCAGTGGCAGCGGCAGTGGCGGCGGTAGATGGTGGCAGCGGTAGCCAACGATGGCGGAGGAAGGGAGGAAAGGTGACAGATGGGTGGTGCTCATTGGCAACGGACGAAGACAAAAGGGCAGTGGGTTGAGACGGTGGAAGATGATGTACAGCGGTGAAGGGCGGCAACAGCGGCGGAGGGCTGGCTGGCGATGGACGACGAAGGGAAGAAGGTGGAGTAATGTTAGAAAGCGGCTTGAAGATGGGCGGCGGCGGAAATAGGCTTATAGAGGAAGATAGCGGATGGAGGAAGGCAGCGGCGAATGGTGGAAGGTGGTGGTGGACGGATATTGGCCCTCACTTTCTTCTTCACGGAGCTAAGATTGTTGACCCTCACGGAACAAAACAGGTAATACCTCAAATTATTCTCTACCTCGTTCTAGGACTACTAGGGTATTTATAAGCGTTCAGAAATCAATATAAGGGAATAACACACAAAGAAACTAATAATAAAGGAAATCGCTCCTAAATGGGCCTGGGCCAGTTCACTGTCGACGTGGTCGTAGATTCCTAATTCCTCGTTGCTCACTACAGCGGGATGCTTCTATGCCCCAAACTCTCTTGATGAACACCTCAATGCTGTGAAATGACGCCGTTGACACCAGCCACATGATATTCCAACTATGGGACCCACAGGGAAACGTCCATTGTCAACGAGTTAACCACGTGTCTGGAGTCTGTTTCTTATCTCCCTGCACATGGTATTCCAAGACGGCTTAAATAAACGACCACGGTCTCATGTTCTTTGGATATGAAAGAGGTCTTCCTTATTATCTATTTTTCATGAATGAACGAAGACATATACGTGACTAACCTATTTTATTATCTGAAAGAAGATGAGATCTGCAGCTTCGATTTTTACGGGTTTCTATCAGTTTGTACATATGTTTGACGAGATGCAATGATAACTCGATCATTCATGTGTCCTGTGCGTGTCAGCGAACTCAGTTTTAGTTACAAGCTTGTCCTAACCGATTACGCTGATTACCTTTATTCAGATGTATATATATTTTTTCCATTTCCGCTTATGTAGCATTTTCATGTGTTACGAACCTCACTTTCGTTGGCATTTTTTATCTGTCTACAAATAGCATTCACCTTTAAGTTGAAATACATTTATATTAAGGTGGAACTTTGTTGTGTGATCCATTTGTTTTGCCAATATTTTAGATGTGTTAACGTTTCTGCTGCCACATTCTGTTGTTACTGTCTTGCAATGTTTGCATTAAAGGTATGATGTTTCTTCATTTCTTCAGATGTTAAGATCAATAGAATTGAAAGAGGAACATGCACTAATAGCAACTTCGGAAAACACTTGAATACTGTTAGGATATAGTACTTAGAACTGAATCTTAATGGGCCTAGACTAGTCTGTAAGCACAACAAAAATTAGAGAGTGCAAGTAAAGTAAGTCTTCTAATATATAAATGATAATAAAAATATAGAATGGGCTGTAATAAAGCAAGACATTGATTACTGTGGTCTAAAGAGGATAAACACACCTCACGACCAATAAACCAACAGATAAAAGAGTAATGACAAGGTCTAAAGAATAAAATACAATAGAGACAGAATTAATGAAGTAGTAATACTAGTCACTAGTGGAGGAGAGAGAGGACTGACAGAGAAGATGATGTTGTAACTCTTGTTGCAACTTCTAGAGAGAATTGAGTTTCTTGTGCCCTAGATTTATCTATTTATTCTTTCTTTTCTCTCTCCCCGAGTTCCCTTTAAATATGGGTGATAGAAAAGGGGCTGGACTATTTTTTGTTCTCCACCTTTAAATACAAGTGACAGAAAAACCTAGTAAGAAGGGATGTGGCCCACATGGGCCTTGCTGAATGAAGGATGACCAAGTCACCTATACAATCTCCACCTTGACTTGGACATCACGATGATCTTTAAAGCTTCATAGTGAAAACTCTGTTAGCTCCTCATGATTGTAATAGAAGATAATATAGTTACATATATTCTCTCAAAGATAAAACGAAGAAGAGAGGTTAGATCTAAGTGTTGTGAACTCCAATTAGGTTCAAACAATGTTGGAACTTTGAAATAAAAAGAGGTTTTGTTAACATATCCGTTAGATTGTCTTCAGTACCAATCTTCTACACACTAATTTTACATGAAGAAATTATATCACAGATAAAATGATACTTGATGTCAATATGCTTTGTCCTTTCGTGATACATTTGATATTTAGTCAAATGAATAGCACTTTGGCTATCACAATGGACAATATATAGTGTTTGACATGAACATAATTTCGATAATAAATCTCTTAACTATATAGCTTCCTTTAATGCCTTTGTAAGTGCTATAAATTTTTCATCTGTTGTGGATAGAGCAATAGTAGGTTGTAGGGAAACTTTCTAATTAGCAACACATCTTCTAATTGAAAATATATAACTAGTTAGTGATCTCCGTTTATCAAGATCTCCTACGAAATCTGAATCCACAAATTCAGTCAATGTCTCACTTGTTCTTCCAAACTATAAACATGTACCAATAGTACCCCTTAAGTACTTGAAAATTCACTTAACATCATGCCAATATGTTTTACAGATTAGCCATATAATGGCTAACTACATTGATTGCATGTGATATATCATGATGAGTGTATATCATAGCATACATCATGCTACATATAGTACTAGAGTATGGAACATGTGACATAAAATTTTTATATGTTGGGGACTATGGTGATAAGAAATTTGAAAGCTTGAAATGATCAGCAAATAGAGTATGAATAGGCTTAGCATCCCACATATTAAAATACTTAAGTACTTTCTCAATATATTTAGCTTGTGATAAGTATAGCTTACCTTCACTTCACTCCGACTTCTATGGATCTCCATTCTAAGAATTTTCTTGGTTGCTCTTAAATCTTTCATCTCAAACTCACTGTTGAGTAAAGTTTTAATTTACTAATTTAAATATATCTTTTGTTGGGATCAACATATTATTGACATAAAGTAACATATAAAGAAAAGAATTATTTGACAACATATCATTGAATTATTTAAATACAATTGCCAAATTTACTGTGAGAGAATTCATGTTAATAATGTCATTAATGTATCAAATTTTGTATACCACTATCCGAGAGATTGTTTGAGGCCATATAGAGATTTCTTCAATAAATAAACATGTTTCTCTTTTTCTTCAACAAGAAAGCCTTTTGGTTGCTGCATATAAATTTGTTCTTCAAAATTGCCATGACAAAAGGTTGTTTTAACATCCATCTATTCTAATTTTAAATTATATGATGCAACAATAGATAATAGAACACATAAAGTTGTGTTTAATAATAGGAGAAAATATATCATTATAATTAATACCTTTGACCTGATTGTAACCTTTTGCAACTAATTGTACTTTGTATCTAACATTATTAGAGTTTAGAGTGCCTCCTTTCTTCTTGAAAACCCACTTGCAGCCAATGACTTTCTGTCCTTTAAGAGCCTCCACCAACTCTTAAGTCTAATTTTTATAGAGAGATTCAATTTCCTTCTCCATAGCAACTAGTCACTTGTCTGCATCCTCATGAGATATAGCATCTAAAAATTTAAGAATGCTCATTTGGATCCAAAGTTTCTCTAGTAATGGTCAATGCATAAGCGACCATATTAGCATATCTATATCTCAATGGTGGCTTAGTATCTCTCCTTGACCGATCATGGGCAAGAGAGTAATTCTAGTTTTGTGGAGATATCTCCACAAGATGCATGTTAAGTATTGAAATATACTTTTATTAAGAATACATATGTGAATTAGATGTATCTAACTTCACTTGACTTGGAGTACTACCATTTGAATATGTAATTTTAGGGGTAGACATCCTTTCTTTAGGATGTAGAATTGTAGCTTCATCAAAAATAACATTTCTCTCAATTAAAAGCTTAAGAGATTTAGGATTAAGAAGTCATAACTTGTATCCTTTGACTCCGGAGGCATAACCAAAGAAGATACACTTTTTAGCTCTAGGCTCCAACTTGCCATCATTTACATGGACATATGCTGGATAACCAAAGATTTTTAAATTTGAATAATCAGGAAGGTTACTTAACCAGACTTTTTCAAGAGTTTTGAAGTTAGTAGCAGAGGCTGGAGATTTATTCACAATATGACAAGTTGTAGACACTACTTCTACCTACAAGTTTTGACCAAGACCTGCAAATAATAGCATACAATAGGCTTGTCCTAGTAGAGTTCTATTCATTCTTTCTGCAACTCCATTTCGTTGTGGAGTATAATGAATTGTCCTATGCCTAACAATACCTTCATTCTTGTGAAAATTATTAAATTTGGTGAAGTAGAACTCTAAATCATTGTTAGTCCTTAGTCTTTCGATTTTCTTCCCAATTTGTCTTTGGAGAAAAACCTTTCATTGCTTAAAATACAAAAAAACTTCAGATTTATGCTTAAGTATGAATACCTAACTTTTCAAGAAAAAATATCAATAAATGATAGAAAATAATGAGCAGCACCTTTTGAAGGGATGCGAGAAAGACCCCAAAGATCTAAGTGGATATAATCAATAGTACTTTTGGTCTTGTGAGTTGTCATTTGGAAGCTAACACTTTTATGCTTACCTAAAATACAATGCTCACAAAATTCAACTTTACTGGTACTTTTCCCACAAAGTAAGCCTCTCTTGCTTAATAGATTAATTCCTTTCTTACATATATGTCCCAACTTTATATGCCACAATTTGGTGACATCTTCTTCTATCATTGAGATAGATGCTACAACAATAGTGGTCCCTAATAGGATGTAGAGGGTACCACATCTTTGTCTTTTCATCACAACAAGAGCTCTTTTGATGACTTTTATGACTCAATTTTTATATGAATATTTGCAACCATTAGCTTCAAGAGTGCCTAAAGAAATGTGATTTTTCTTCAAATCAAGAACATGCTCGACATTAGATAATGTTGTTGTGATATCATCAAACATTTTGATACAAACTGTGCTAATACCAACAGTCTTACATAAGGCATCATTTCCCATTAAGACATGTCCACCATTGATCTGCTCATAAGTGGAAAAATACTTTCTATGAGGAGTCATATGGTATGAACAGCCTGTATCTAAGATCCAATCATCTTTAGATCTGATGGTATGAATAGAAAGAACAAAATCATGAGTCTCATTTTTGGCAACACTAGCTTGTGCTAAACTTTTAGCACGATTAGACTCTTTCGAGTCTTTTTGCTGCCTTCTCTTGAGTTGATAACAATCAACCTTCATCAATAATTACAAAACTTATTTTTAGATGTTGATTTGAATCTTGACTCACCTCTATTTCCTCCTTGACTTTTCTTCTTAAGTCTACCTCTTGTAATAAGACCTTCAAGTTGCTGTCCTTCTGAAATAACAATTATATTTTTGTCAATCAACTCTTTCAAAAACAACAAAGATTTAACATCTTCAATAGATATAGTATTTCTACCATATAAGAAAGTTTCTTGAAAGTGTCTATATGATGATGGTAAGGAACATAGTAAAAACATGACTTAGTCTTCTTCTTTTACTCTTTCATCAATATTTTTTAAATCTAATAAAATATAATTGAACTCATCAAGGTGAGCTTTGATTGATGTACCTTTTGCCATTTTGAGCATGAATAAATATTGCTTCAGAAATAGTTTGTTGGTGAACAATCTAGTCATATATAGTGACTCCAACTTCAACCATAGTACAGTTATTGTAGATTCATGAATGACCTCATATAGAACCTCATTAGACAAACTAAGTTGAATCACAACAAGAGTTTTTCATCTAATTCTAGTTTTACTTCTATAGACATAGTGTTTGACATTTTCTCTTTTCTTAAGAATGCTTTATGTAGCCCTTGGTGGGTCAAGAGGGCTCTCATCTTGATCTATCATATTCTCTAATACTAATTTGTTAGGAATAGTACTTAGAACGTGATCTTAATGGGCTTAGGTTAACTTATTAGCGCAGCGAAAACTAGATAGTACAAGTACAACAAATCTTGTAATATATAAATGATAATGAAAATGTAAAATGAGCTGTAATAAAGCAAGACTTTGATTATTGTGGTCTAAAGAGGATAAACACACCTCACAACCAGTAAACCAATGAATAAGAGAGTAATGACAAGGTCTGAAGAATAAAATATAATAGAGACAGAGTTAATGAAGTAGTAATACCAGCCACCAGTAAAGGAGAGAGAGGATAGAAGGAAGGAGATGATGTTGTATCTCTTGTTGTAGATGCTAGAGAGGATTGGGTTTCTCATGTCCTATATTTGTCTATTTCCTCTTTCTTTTCTCTCTCCTCGAGCTCTCTTTAAATACAAGTGACAGAAAAAGGGCTGGACTATTTTCTGGACAAAAAATAGTCATAAGTGAAAAGCCTAATAAGAAGGGATGTGGCTCACATGGGCCTTGCTGAATGAAGGATAACCTAGTCACCCTTACAAATACAATGACTGCTTTGTCATTTATGAGATGTCACAAAGGCTATGCCATTAGAAACTAGCAATAAGATGAGGACGAGGAAAACTTCTTGGAGAAAAATTTAAAGTGATGACGTATCATCAAAATAAAGGGATTGCTGCCTTCTGATGAGAAAAGAATAATAATGTAAGTTGATAGATTATGTCAGTCTGTAGTATTAGTGGATTACAAAATCACAAATCACTACACTTCATCTGATTCATAGTTGAGTGACAAACTCTCCTGATATAGTATTCAAACATATTGAAATAATCTTTGGTGATGTATCACATTTCAGTTCCTTTTATCACTGTTGCACTAATTTTTTATTTGGTATAGAATTATGATGTGTGTGACAACACATATCATATAGCATTTATAAATTAAAAGCACATCGCTTCAAATTCTGATTAAACATTGAAACGTGATCCATAATTTGTCAATTGACTTCTAGATGAATACCTCAATTTCTTTATGGTTTGAATCATCCACCCGATCTATTTTTACCCTCAACATTCCTCCTCAGACCACGAAATGCGGTTCTCGATAGGGTTGCCAAATGGAAAATGGTTTTCACATGACAATTACCAGTGGATCGAGGTTTCCCTCCACTGTGTGCCGAGAAGACTCAGGTTTTGTAAACTCAATGTGGCTCGACAGCCAGATTAATGAGATTGTGCTCTAGATGGCCTACGTGACTGTACGCTGTTGGTATGGACAAGATATGTTCATATGGACGCCTACCCGTCGGCAGAACATCACCAGCTTGGAATGACAGATGAAGAAGTTAAGGATGGTTAAGAAAACGATCTCCCACTCTTCCCTCGGACGTTTTAGGTCCTATAAAAGATGCAGACGTTCCTGACGGGGGCAAGCGAGGGGTGCATGTCTCGCTGGAATTTGTCACCCCGTGGTCTACTTGTTGACACTGGAATCTTTAGACATTGGGAAAGAATTCCAGTACCATAAACCATTTCTTTACAGTACAAACCCTTCACGAAGATACTTCTTGCTCTTCTAACTACGTTGGCGCCGCACGAGAACTTTTCTCATGACAAGCTCTCCGTCCATATCGCTGTCCGGGGGTGGCAGGGAAGTATGTGACGAAGAATCCCCAACTAGGGATCAACGACTTGAGTAGTGCACTCCAGCGGGCCTTACGATCGGAACCTCTTCTGGGAATTGGAAGACAAGTTCACAACAGTGAAGTGTCACACAACAACGGCAGCTGATGGGCGCCAACAGGAAAGATTTGCGAGCACCACACGCAGGCGGTCTAGCGTAGCATGGTAAGGTTGGGGTGAGCTTGTGTCGAGCTCATAAGTATCGCCATCTCTAGCACCCGGCAACTTCAATGTTCAGCAACTTAGATTATTGATAATTGGCTGCAACTCCTGGTCACGGGACCATGATTCCTCGATGCTTAGAGTAAATGATCATCAGTATGCGGGTAAAAAGGTGGTGAAGTCGTGCGTCCGATAAAGGTGAATAAGATTCTCCCGGCACATCTGCCTGTGAATCGAAAATGTGCTTCCTCTTTGATGGTATAGTACCTCTATGATGACCGTTACATTGAATTGGGACATGACGTGATCACAAATGCCAGTCATTGTCATCTGGGGATCTTATCACACGATATCACGTTTCTAGAGGAAACTCTCCGAATAAATCATTTTAAAGTGTGATCGAGAGAGTTTCTCTGCCAAGAAGGAAGAACAGGTGGGCCTTTCGTCCATGGAGGTAAGAGCATTCTCCGAACCACGTAAACCTTGGTGTCTCCTCCTCTTTTTCCTATACTTCCTCTTCTTCTCTCATGTTTTCATTTCTTCCGCTGTGCAACAAGTGGACGCTCATCCCCTACTAGTTCTAGAAAACGAGAGTCCTGGTAATTGGATTTTATGAACCCTTTAGCTTGGTATAGATATGAATAAAATTTATATGGATGAGACTGTTGGAATCTATTTGTATGTCAGGCAGGGGATATCTTCCATGACTCAGTCAAGGTTGTGTCGATTTGTTTCATATTTTGTGCAGGTTTCTTGTGAATGCATCTGGAAGGAGAGATGACACCTAATTCGCCTATGGAAGGTCCATTTATGAACCTTTTCTCGCGGTAGGACGGCCCATTTCCGGATATACTTACCCGGGATGATGATTTTCAACGACCATGACTTCTTGACGATAACTCGAGAGCTCCGACAAATTTGGCGACCTTTGGAAAATAGGTCTGTGAAATTGCCGGCCCTGAAGTAAGGTGGTATCCGTCACGAGTTTTCTCTTCGTTTCATCGACGAAAGCTAGCCAAAGATGCTCTTTGTAAGGTCGTTCGGGTCACATACCTGACGCATATCAGCATTGGTTTATAATTTTCCTACATTGACGTTATTTATTAACTGAAGTTACCATCTCATATTTCATATTGGTCAAATTATTTTTGGAATTATGGTCTCCTCTCCGGCTAGCAGTTTTGTTATCGCCTTCGATTCAACTTTTGTCATTAGTCGCGATACGTAGACAAGATCATGGTCCACTCCATTTCTTAGCTAAAATAAACAGCCTTCTAACACATGTTTTTGGGAATAGGTTCAATACGTACGACAGATGTAATAGAAAAACGTACAAGTTACACTAATTTGACTCTAGTTTGTTCCTAATCAGGAGAAAAAGAGAAGTAAAAGAATCACGTTGTAACTAAAACATAATTTTTATTGTTATTAGAAGGAAAAGTTGTCTTGAGCACGTAAGGAATGTTGACTAATGTAATGTCCAAATATGATAGACTTTGGGATACAATTCTATCCCCATCTTAACCAAATTTATTACTGCAGGACCAAAACGAGTGAAATCTGACTCGATAATCAAATCCTGTTTGTTACATGGAAAATCCGGGCCTATCTTATCAACTCTGGCTTCTATCATCATGTTGCACTTTTATATTAGAAAAAAATAAAATCCTAAATCGAGACTAAGTGCGTGCTTTCATGCACTGAAACTCAGCTTATAAGATGTGGCACAAAAATTCTAGACAATTATGTAGTTCTCCCTGATTGCTCTCGTGCTAGAGGAAATCCACCACTACAAGAGGTCCGAACAACATCCTTTCGTAAAATAAATCCTCAATGTATTGCAATCAGTTTTGAATCATACGTTTATATGTTCGTTTTTTACCTGTCCCGGTCATTTTCAAATTTTCAGCTAATATTACTATACCGAGGTTTGTTCCGAATGAAGTGATCCCTGATTTCTATGACATCAATTTGAACCTAGTTCTATGCCTCAGTTCATGAAAAAAGATGGAATCCAAAATGGTTTATTCTATAACAGTTTTGCGTAAGGTTT